CTTAGGCCCCGCTAAACCTAAAGGTAAACGAATGAGTCCTATTTAAACACTAGAACGTTATTTTAACTGACCTTTTTCATTTCATTTTTAAAATAGGGTTTGGCCTTGGTGGATAGACACTCGAGACCGGAAATCATATTTTTGCTAAAAGTAGATGATTTACCTGAGGATAATCAAGAACGTTTTAACAGTCTATTCTCTCTAAGGGAAAAATGGACAGAAGAAGACATAGCTCCATATATTCAGTAAGTAATGTACTAAAATGGGCTTTGAGGGTTCTTTTGAGTATTTTTTGAGTATTCTCTGAGGACATGGCTTCCTTTGAAACTTTTTCAAGTGGTGGCTGTCTTCTCTCATCCTTCACAACTTCTGCTTCTGGAGGTGGGGAATGTGTTGTGTTTCTTCCTCATCCTGCATCTAAAACCACTTTTCTGCCCTCCTTCCTACAACAGATAGCTCTTAGAGGGACAGACTACATACCCCACTCTGACTCCAAAGCAAGCACTCTCTCTAATCGGTACTTCCTATCTTTCCTGCCACATTGCTTTAACATTTTGATAGATGCCAGATTGCAGAACAAATTAGTTCTTTAGTCACTCTTTACAGGACCTCAGCTGCACTAATGCTACCATCTCTTCACTATGTCTCACCTTTCATGTCTTCTTTCTACCCAGTTTGGATTTCCTGGTTGGGGTCTCTAGCGTCTACTGTGCATGGTTTGCTCCCACAACCCTTTCTCCCTCTTGTTAGACCTCTCTGACAAAAATCTATAAAGATTAAACCCAAGTTTTCTGCTTACTCTATGCCTACATGCAAGTGAAATTTCCTGGAGAAAAAGACATAATGGCACTTGCCAGTCTTAAGAGATTAAGTGGTACTTAGCAGTGTCCGTGGCAAAGCCCCATTTCTGTATGAAAATCTTCTGCCCTTGGAGCTCGGCTTTCATAATTCTGCTTTTCATATCATCACAATTTCCATCTTCCTCTTCACCCTCAGCTTGTGGCCTTGCTTCTTGAGAAAATGCAAACAGATGAGAAAAGACAAGGACAACTTTTTTTTAAGATTTTATTTATTTATTCATGAGAGACACAGAGAGAGAGGGGGGCAGAGACATAGGCAGAGGGAGAAGCAGGCTCCCTGCAGGAAACCTGATATGGGACTTGATCTCGGGACTCCGGGATCATGCCCTGAACCGAAGGCAGACGCTCAACTGCTGAGCCACCCATGTGCCCAGGATAACTTCTTTCCTACTGCCATACCTGCCAGCATTATGTCCTTGTATTGTGTCCACATACACACTCCCTTTGCAGTCCTTCATGTATAGTGCATGAACTGTCCCTGCTCCTAAGGCCAATCCTCTTTCTGCACTGGATCATCCCTCTGCCTTATTAAAGACATATATCCGCTAGTTATCCCCTTTCCCCTGTGTGATTGATGTCTCCCTATCTGCAGGGATTATTTCCATCAGGTTTTCTGTAGTATTGCTCATGTTAAAGTACAATAAGATGAGCTTTCCTTTCCAGGAAACTCCTGTGAAAAGTTTGTGTACTCATTTATGTTTCTGTCTCCCATTCTTTCCTTAACCCGTTGGCATCCATCTTTCTACGTTCAGTAGTCACTTGTCTGTCCTTGTTAACTTGGCCTCTTCACACTGTTGGGACACTGTAGATCACTTTCTACTTGAAACACACCAGTTGTGTCCCTTCTCTCCCAAGGCAGCTCCTTTTCTGTCTCTTTTGCTCATGTCTCCCTGTTTTTCCCCAGTCTTCAAGTGTTGGTGTGCTCTAGGACTATTCTTGACCATCTGCTTTTTCATTTATATTTTTTTCCTTAGTGCCCTCATCTAGGCCTGGAATTAAATTTAATGACTTCCTAATTTTATCTTCATACTTGATCTTTTCCTTAAGTTCTGATTTCTCATATCTAGCTGCCTAATGAACATTTCCACTGGATATCATGCTCGGAACAGAACTGTGGTTCCTCCTTGTCCTAACTCCATCTTCTACTTCTCACTTAACATGACCACCATTAATTCAGTTACTCAAGCAAAAAAGTCCAGGAATCATATTTCATATTTGTCTTTTTCTCTCTCTCCCTGGTTCAAAGTAGGAGCAAATCCTAATGGGTCATCTAGTTCCTGGCTCTGAATTGGTCTCTCTACTTAAGTTTTTTCCTCTTCCATGTCCCACTTTGTAAACTTTTTATTTTGAAAATTTTTAAACATTCAAAAGTGACAATATAGTGAACCTGTCATGTACTCACCACTTAGCTTCCATAATCAACTCATTGCCTCCATTTTTTAAAACTTAGATCACATTCTGCTTTTCCATTAATTAAAACCCTCCTAGTGACTTCCCTTTATACTTAGAATTAAATCACAGTTCCTTTCCATGTTCATTAAGGCCCTGTATGACTTTGCCTTTGCTCCCTCTCCAGCCCATGTCCTTTCATTCTTCCTTCACCTTGTATGGTGAAGTCCTACTCCTCTTTGGGGTACGGAAGACAAAGCTAAAGTTCAGGGAGAGTAGGTAACACAGATAAGCACACACAGGTAGCCTAGGATCCAGGGTCTCTGTGCCTAGACCTTCCTATATCCCATGGCTTATATTTCTAATTTGGAGGCTGTGTGATGTAATGGGGGAAAACAAATGGACTAAGAAGTCATGCAGAACTAGCAGCAAAGTTTGGTTCCATCCTTTACTACCTGAGCTTAGCTTCCTCATATCTAAGGTAGGGTTAAATAATACATTACTTTTACTGTTTCTGTGGTTAAAATAAGTAATATATGTAAAGTACCTAGTTCAATTCAGGCTTAGTGACTACTCCCTACCCTATCTCTCCCACAAACACACATCCTTAGGCTTGTTGGAAAGATGGACTTAGGCAAGAGAGATATAAATAACTAGCACTGTGAATATTATGTTCCCTAACACATTAATGCTATTCGTTTTTTTTTTATTGTTCCCACAGAGATTTGTGTGGAGAGAAGCAAACAATAGGTGCATTACTCACCAAATATTCTCGATCTTCAATACAAAATGGTGTTAAAGTTTACAACTCAAGAAGGCCCATTTCTTAAAAGAATAACAGTCTGTTCCTTGGGACTAAAGTTGCTTCATAAACGCTGATGATTCTAAGAAAAAGATTCTTGAATATATTTGTATTCCAGATTTTAAAAAAACCTATTGCTTTGAAGCCTTTTTCTCCAGATCTTAAGCATTTTGAAACTACTGTTCTCTTTCCCTTAAATATAACAGGATATTTCTATGTCTTTCAAGTTATTTTTACATTATGCATACAGTGTTGTTTCCTGTATTTAGTATATCTTAAGTCTGTATGGTTTTATTTACAGAAAAAGAGTGTTCCCTTTTTTATATTTAAAATTGCATCTTTTGGGGATCCCTGGGTGGCTCAGCAGTTTAGCGCCTGCCTTTGGCCCAGGGCGTGATCCTGGAGATCCCAGATCGAGTCCTGCATTGGGCTCCCGGTGCATGGAGCCTGCTTCTCCTTCTGCCTGCGTCTCCGCCTCATCTCTCATGAATTAAATAAATAAAATCTTAAAAAGATGCAATTATTATTTTTTTATTAGGATTTGACATTCTAACCATTAACAAATTTAAAGGGAATCCCTGGATGGCGCAGCAGTTTAGCGCCTGCCTTTGGCCCAGGGCGCGATCCTGGAGACCCGGGATCGAATCCCACGTCGGGCTCCCGGTGCATGGAGCCTGCTTCCCTCTGCCTGTGTCTCTGCCTCTCTCTCTGTGTGACTATCATAAATAAATAAAAATTCAAAAAAAAAATTAAAGACTTTTCAGAGGGGCACGTGGGTGGCTCAGTGGTTGAGCATCTGCCTTTGGCTCAGAGTGTGATCCCAGGGTCCTGGGATTGAGTCCTGCATCAGGCTGCGTTCAGGGAGCCTGCTTCTCCCTCTGCCTCTCCGTCTCTCATGAATAAATAAATAAAATCTTTAAAAAATAACAAATAAAGGCTTTTCAGAGCACTAAATATTACTATTACTATCCTAGAAATGACTTATTCACTTGGATGTCATTTCACAAGTGATTTCCCCTCTACTTTCAACATTCCACTGAAATAGGGAGTCACTAGATTCTGTTACCTAAATTAGTCATTTGCATTGAGGAAATGGGCTTGGTAATAGCTGCTGTGTCGCCTGGCTGATGTCAACGTGAATTTTGGGACGAAATGGATTTATTTGATCCTCCATCTTCTGTCAAGAATACCAAGAGGGCGGTTTGTTATCCCCTTAGTGGAAGAAACTGGCACGGGCGATACGGGAAAATTACAAGTAATTTCTAGTGGGTTTTGGCATGCTTGATAAAGTTCCTTTATGACTTTATTCCCTGATTTGTATTCATTTAGACTTCAGTCCAAATTAATTTTAACTTGGCTAGTACCCTGTCACCAGCACCCCTTGAGGGGTTAGGCCAAAGATAAATCTGGTCCAAGATTGGAAGAAAAAAAAAAAAAAGTTAATGGGTAATCCACGTGACCTAACATTTAACTATTACTGAAATTCACACCTTTTTACTCTCTTGTACATGAACTGCCAAAGCCAGTGGCCCCAGAGCGTCTCTGCAATATTTGTGTTCTAACCATGTGCAACCATTTAAAAAGTCCGGAGGTGCCGGAACCCAAGGGAGGACTCCGGGGTCGGAGTTAGACTACCCGGGGTCTAATTTACACGTTGCACAGCTCAAGTCACCGGGTCCAAAGCACTCGGGGCGTCGGTTCGCTCAGCCCACAAGCGGGACCCGGCGTCTCCTGGTTCCACGAAGTCCTGATTACCCAGACGCCCACCGCCTCTCCGCCGCGTTCTTCGCAAACCCCCATATATTCCCTCAACTTTACCTTACCTCGTGCTGCGGATGTACGGAAAGCCAAAGGCGAAATCTCCCAGATTCCCGCGCAAGCCCCACCCACTCACGCAGAGCTTCCGGCTCCCGCTCCCGCAGCCGCCCCACTTCCGCCGACGGCACAGGTCAGAGGTGACCGGCAAGATGTCGGCCGACGGGGCCCTGGAGCGGTCGCTCAGAGCAGCATCTTCGTGACAAGCCCGTCGCAGCGGATAAAAGGACCCGAATCGGGGAAGCGAGTTCGAAGCGGGCGGCGGCGGATCGGACGCGGCCGGTCGTGGGCGCCGAGGGACCCCTGGCTGCGGGGCATGACTGTCGGGAGCGCGGGGGAGCGGGGAGCGAGAGGTGCCGGGGGCTGGTAATGCCCCGACGCCCCCCGGGAAGCGGGGAAGCCGCGAAGCCCAGCTCGGTGGGAGCGCTTCATGCCGCCTACTGGTTTAGAGCCCGCCAGAATGAACAGGAAGAAAGGAGACAAGGGCTTTGAAAGCCCAAGGCCGTATAAATTATAAGTATTTTTTCCATCTTCCTTTCTTCTAGCTTTTATTTTTCCTTATTTCTATTCTGTGATTGCTCGAAGCTGCCTTAGGGGGCCTGAGAAATGTAGTGGGAGACCGGAGCCCGCTCCCCCATGGAAATGGGGTTTGCAGGACCCTGTGAATGGTTTTCGGTGGCAGTGGTGTTGAACAGATTTAATATCCCCCCCCCCTTTTTTTTTCAGATTTAATATTCCTTGCAGGTCAATAAGTGTTCTTCTTATGGTACCTAGTTGTGTGTGTGTGTGCGTTTTTTTTTCCCCGAAGAAATCTGTTTTTGTGACTGTTGATAAAACCTGCAATTACCTTAATTAGCAAGATTGTAGAAGATAAGATTGTGAGCTGCTTAGAACCTCTTGTCTCTGTTTGGATAGAATTGTGTTTTTATTTAATAATAGGAATGTTTTGTTTTTTATTTATTTATTTATTCTTTTTCTGTATACAACCCATCAGGTCGTCTGCATCAACAACATAAACTTCCAGAGAAAATCTGTTGTGGTAAGTGTATAGTCAACGATGATAAACAGTAACAAGTTCGGCCTTTACAATATTCAGAAACTTTCTTTCCAGGTGACTTATGTGTCAAGAATAGGTGAGATTTAGAATTCAGACCTGTGTGACTTCAGGGTGCATAGCCTTGCTGCTCTCCTGGCTGCCTCCTCAGGTCTCCCTTCTCTCTCTCTCTCTCTCTCTCTCTCTCTCTGTTTTGTTTCTGGGTTAACATTTTATTCTGTTTAATCTGTCGTGGAATACAGAAGTCTCTATTATCAAGCATTTTAGAATTGTGCATGAAACAAGAGTAAGCCCATAGTGAACATTTTTTGTGTAAAAAAATTAAGGTTAGCACGCTCTCTGACTTAACTTGGCTGCTAAGAGGCCAGTTTTGTTTTCTGATTCACGGCTGACCTAGTTTAGGTGCGTCGTTGCTTTATAAAGGTTTAGGTGAGGTGTTTGGAATCTAGTAAACACCACCCTATCCTTTTGATATATTTAGATTGCATTTATAATCTATTCTGGGGCAGTCCATGACTACCTAAGTACTTAATTTAGGGAGACCTGTATTAAATAGACAAAATCTTAGTGAACCGTCTTTGGTGTTTTTTTGTTTTGTTTTGTCTTTTTGCTGAACGTCCCTCCACAACTGTTATCCCTGTATGCATATGTTTACTTAAGATGGGCTGTATTGTGAAATAGAAAAGTAAACTACCGTAGGAATCACAGAATCCTTAAAGGTTCACTGAGTCCCATCTCCATATTTAAGGAATTTCTCTATCATTATTCCTTACATATGATTACAGCTGACCCTTGAATAATGTAGGGGTTAGGGGTCCTGACCCCCTACACAGTCAAAAATATGGGTATAGCTTTTGACTTCCCAGAAACTAACTTAGCTTCTAATAGCCTACTGTTGACCAGAAGTGTTACCAGTAACATGAAGAATTGCTTAATGCATATTTCGTCTGTTTATTATAGAATGTATTCTTGTAATGAAGTAAGGTAGAAAAAGAATGTGTTATTAAGAAAATTGTAAGGAAAATAAGTTTACAGTACCACCCTGTATTGGGAGAAAATCCACATATAAGTGGGCCTGTGCCGTTCAAGCCTGTGTCGTTCAGAGGTCAACTGTATTTACCTTGTACTTCATGGAAGGATACTTTAGGTGTGTTGTGTTGTATTAATTGGGTAGGGAAGATATGAGAAATAGAGAGTTTAGTTAAGAAGTTGCTGTAACAATCTTGGGGAGAAATGATGAAGCCTTGAATGAAGATAACTATATGAAAATGGTCTAGCAATAGAATTGACATGATTGGCTGAATTACAGTGAACCTTTATTGAGTACAAACTATGCACGAAACTTTTCCAAGGTTTTATATGTGTGACCTCACTAAATCTTTACAATAACTCCATGAAGTAGATACTGTTTTAATCCTTTTTTAAAAAAAATAAAGCATCTGAAAGACTGGAGACTAAGTAACTTTCTTCAGGACATAAAGTTAGGAAGTGATGGAGCCATTTTTTAATTGAAGACCTCTAAGAGTCACCGGCAGCTCCTTTCTGCTGTTTCCCCTCTCCACGTCCTCTGTCCCTGCCAAAATTATAGATGGAAAGAATTGCAGATGACTCTTACAAGAATGTTTGGAAGGAGTTGTGAATGATTTGGGAGTTTTCCACTAGAAAAATTGGTCGGATGGTGTATGGGTTAGGGTCCTAGAAGGAAGTAAATGGCATATTCATACAGATTAATTGAGGGAAAGTAGTAAAAGGACTATTTAGAACAAACAGGATTAAGAGAAACCAAGATATGGTGAGGCACACTAGGTTAGCAACAAGGAACAGTTACCACTTCCAAACCTGAAAGAACATAGGAAGGCAGAAGTTACTAGAGTATAGTAGACTATGGTAGCTTTAGGAAAGTGTCACCTTATAGAAGGTGTGGTCTTTGGTAGAAGAATGAAGTTACTGCCTCCCTCAGCTAGGCAGCAAGTATCCTGGAGGGATAAATGTAATGAACTCACTTTCCTTCTGCTCTCCAGTTTTCTCCTCAAGCTTCCCATTTGACCACCCCAACGGGAAGCTAAAGGGCTAGTGGCCAATTAATGTAACTCCTGTGGTGGAGAAAGAGGGGCAAAAGGAGAATATCTAGAACAGTCCACCTGTTTGCTCCCAAACCATCCTCTCTTGCTCTTTGTTGAGATGAAAAGCTAGTAGTCCCACACTGGGAATTTAACAAAGTCTTATCGGCTATTCCAGAGGTCGGCAGTGGCTGACTACCTATTTTTGTCACAGGTTTTATTGGAGCACAGCCACACTCATTTATTTATACATTGTCTAAAGTGCTTTGGAGCACTTTGGAGTGCTCCAGAGTGGCAGAGTTGAGTACTTGTGACAGAGACTGTGTGGCCCACAAAGCCTATTTACTGTCTGACCCTTTGGGGAGTTTGCTAGTCCCTCACCTCATGAGTTCGTATGAAGATACGGCAGCTTAGCTCTATTCCTACTGAAAGTATTAGCTACCACCAGTATCTTTCATACAAAATAGTGGAAAGAAAAGTAGGTAAGAGAGTGTGTGGAACTTAATTGCTATAGCCCCTGCTTTCTTTAGCTGGTGTCAAGGCCAAAGTTGCTAAACACAGCTTCCTTGTTCTTCTACCTGTTCCATTTTTCCTTTTTCTTCTGCTGACATTTCTGTTGGTCTGACCCAGATCTTCATTTCTTTAGGATCTGTGTCCTTGCTTGTCCTGACCTGCCCTGGGTTGCAGTTTTCCATTGTTTGGGGCTCTTAGTCAAGTGAGCCCTAAGAGGCATTCCATGAATTCCCTTGAACTGCAGATGTAAGTGTTGTCTACTGTATAAGCATAACATGAGTTCCTGTTTGGTAATTGGGATTTGTCCTTCCTGTTGCCATAATGACCTCTTTCTGTGCCTGATGGTTTGGTAGCATGAGGAACTGAAAGCGGTCAAGGGACAGTCTTAGTTTCCAATGTAATGGAACCATGACTGTGTGTCCTCATGGATATATTTTTCTACTGGCCAAACATACTGAATCCAAGGTTATAAAGACAGCAAAAATTCCTTCAGTGTTTTTTCGATACAATAGTGAGAACAGTCACTCCAACTTTTACCATCACAAATCTGTTTTGGCTATGGAGAGATGATCCTATATACTGTCCACTTGTTAAAACAGCATTCTGTTGGAGGTCCCTCGATGCTGTAACTGAGCCTTCAGCAGTTGGTCATGCCAGTGCTTCTGGATGATAGGGCACAAGATAAAATCAGTAGATTTTGTGCGTAAGATCCCATCACCACACTTCCCTGAACCTTAGAGGCATGTATGAGATACTACAACAATATATGAGATTTTCTGTAACTATGTTTAGGGAGGGAAAATCTAGAATATGTCTGCTCTTGTAAGGAAAAAGATGTTCTTGATGTGAGCTGTTACATAGTTGTTCTCTTATCAAGTCACTGACTGGTCCCTCCAGTAAGTACCTTATTGGACGTTTAGTATGATCCTGTGCTGTTGGTAGTAGGCGCTTAGCAATGGTGGTAGCCAGATGGTCCTTGGTGGGCGGAGGACCATGTTGTTGGGCTCATGCATAGCCTCTATTCTGCCACTGTGACCACTTTGTATGTTGAGTAGAGTGACAAGGGAAAGAGTCTGATCTCTACTTCATCTTGCCAGTTTATTTTTGAGGGTCCTTTCTGCGGTTATGTCCTCTGATGATCATTTATGTGATAACAACATGGATATTTTCACATTGTACCTGCTCTGAGAAATCCATCTGTATACTTCTCTTACCATCTTCCTTTTAATTTTTTTCTTATCAAGTTCTTAATCAACCCATTAGCAGTTGCCCATGGGTCAGTGTAGTTGTATACTTCAGGACGTCTCTATTTTTACAAAGAATGTACAGCCAGATGTATTTCCCAGTGTTTTGTTAGCTGTAGGACTTTCTTCCTACCTCTTTCAGGGCCACACTTCAGTGACATTCTAATGGCAACTCCCATCCAGTTCCAGCTGGTGGTAGCATCCTGTGCACTTAGTCATAATTCAGGCTTGTGCTTTGTCCTGTTAACAGTATAGGGAACTCTCCATGAGACCATAGGGATAGATTGAGGGAGAGGTAGAGAAGCAGTGAGAGGAAGTTTTACTAGATTCTGAACACCTGCTCGTGCTGTTGCCTGTGCTTTATGAACGTGCTTGGGCCTGGCTTAGATGTGTTATCTCCACCTTAAAGTGGAAAAATGCTGTACATGCCCAGTTTTATTTTATTTTATTTTTTTCCAGTTTTATTTTTTAGAGCTTTATATTACTCTTCTTTTCATCATGGTCATTTCAGGGAACAGTCTTTGAGAGTCCCATGGTCATGTATTGAGTTCCTACTGAAGGGTCTAGTAGCAAACCAGTCGTTGCTTTGCAAATGGAATATAGTTGCTGACAGAAGAGTTTGTAGCCTTCCTCTCAAACCTCAGGAATTTGCACTGTCATTCTATCGGAAAAAGCCAGATTGTGTAGAGCATCTGTCTGCCATGGACATTTCCAGTTGCCATTGGATCTGCTGAGTCATAAGACCCAAGTGGCAGGGCAGCTTGAACTACAGCCTGGATCTGCTGTAGAACTTTTTAGTCTAGATCCCTCTCAAAGCTGACAGCTTAATAGGTTACCTGGTAAGTGGTATGCCCAAATGTATATATTGCCTCTAGAATTCAAAGAAGCCCACCAAGTTTTGTGTCTCTTCCTCTTTCTCTCTACCTTGGTGGGTAGTACAAAATGAAGCAACTTATCCTTCATTTGAAATGTATATTTCTATATGCCTTAGAATACTGGAACCTGAGAAGCTTTATTAATGTGATAAGCCCCTGAACTTTCATGTGATTTTATTAAAGCTTTTGGGGAACTTGCTTCTTACCAGTTGCAGTTAGCATAATGTTGTCAATATAACATACTAATATAATTCTTTATGGGCTATCTTGGAATCAAGGGACTTTTGGACTATGTTTTGAGTAGGAGAGTTGATATAGCTTTTAGTTATTACATGAATGTGAAGGGGTTCTGCTCTTTTTGAAGGCAACCTGTGTGTGTGTGTGTGTGTGTGTGTGTGTGTGTGTTTCTGATAAGAATTGGAAGCAAAAGGTATTTGCTTGATAGTTAGTTGCTTGCAGTATTAGTTACCAAGAGCTGTGCTGATTTGCTGCAGTAGAAATACTACATCTGAAACTGTGGTTGTGATTGGCAGGTTTGTGATAATTCTAAAACCTCCTTGACTTTTGTATTGGCCAAATACTTGAATTAAATGAAGATGTAGTAGGCATCTTTGAAATATCTGTTGGCACTAATCTCTGCAGTTCCCCAAGGGGTGTTAGGTTGCTTTGATATATTATCTTAGCCCTTCCATAATAGTCCTTGCTGTGCTGGTTAGAGAACAAGTATAGGGATTTGTCAGTTACTAAAATATATGCTGTATGTTCTGGGGCTGGGAAAATAAGCTGAAATAGCCATGGGCTGTTACTCCCTTTAGTATTTGACCTCCGAAGACTTCCAGTATGATTAGTAGACTGTGGTAAGGTTTTGGGACCCCAGGAATTATCATTTCAGAAGCAAGATATGAGATACCTCCAGGAAGAGGGCAAAAATTAATTCATTTGAATGTGACATAGATACCAAGGTTTAAAGGAATGATATGTGAGTTTTGAACATGGTTTATAGGCACAGGAAAAAATCCTGTAGGGAGGAGGTATTATAATTACAGGAGAGGATAATTAATAGAGTGGGATTTTTGAGGATACTGTAGAGTATGGCCTCCAATGGACCAGTGGAAGGATCAGTTTTGAACAGTAGGGAAAAATAGTTATATGTAGCAGGAGGGCAAAAGGTGGGTTAGAAATGAAGAGTATGACCTTCAATGAATTGGGGTTGAATGTTGGGGAATTTGGGAGATACTGATGAAGAGAAATAGCGGGTGGTGGACCTGTATGGCATGAACACTAAGGAAAAGAAGTGGAAAAGAATAATAACATTTCTTAGGCATTTATTAGATGTCCACTATGATTTTCTATATATTGAAGTGCTCGGTTGTCATATCACCAAACGGGAGGTAGTGTCATTATTCTACTTTACAGATGAGGAAAAGAGAACTAGAGTAACTAACGATCATACAGTCATTAAGTGGTAGAGTTTGGATTTGAATGCAGGCAGTTTACCTCCGGAAAACATTTATTTAATGAGGACATTATATTGCCTGGCTCTTATAGCATATGCTCTCTAAAATGCTATGAATGATCTAGAGTAGCATTTGATACCAGGAAGTCTCCCATAATTGTTTTCCCCTCCCATAATTTATACTGAATGAAAGAATAAGTAATTCTTGTCAAAGGGATTCAAGATATATTTTATCTAAGGCTAGAAGGTAGAGGAGTTCTTGAAAAAATTGAATGGTGCAGGGGAGGTTATTTAGAACAGTATAGGAAGATGGTCACCTGTCAAGTGATTGGGAGGGAACAAGGAGCAAGAAGGAGAAGAGACTTGGATGAGAGCTTAGGTGACCAGGGGGCCCTGCAGTAGTGCCAGTGGTCAGAAATGACCAGGACTGGAGACTTGTGGAAGTTAATGGATCTGAATGTTGGAGTCAAATATAGGTTAGGGCTCTAGGTGGTGTCAGAGACCTGATGATACAAGGAGACTGGGTTTTCCCTATCTTCATGAAATACCACACTTCATTCACTGTTCTGTCATTGTTAACCTTAGTCTAGAAAGCCAAATCCTGTTCTTATGTCCCGCTCATGTAGTTAACTGTTAACTTAAAGCACTTACCATAATATTTTCTATTATAGTTCAAGTTTGCTGTTGTCTTGATTCCGTTTGCTGTCTTTGAGCTAATCTAAGTTTGTTTATATGAATTGGTCATTGGATTGCTGATAGGCTAATTAAGAGAATTTTGGTCTTGTTCAATTGCTAATAGTTTACACCTTTAAACAACTTTCATCAGCGTTTTGGCTTCTCTTTCTTTTCTCATTTGCTATCATGTAGGTCTGTGTAGGTAGTATAATTTAAGGATGTATAGCTCTTCATATTTGGGAATTAGAGGGAATGGGGCTGCAGAATATCTAGACTTTTGAGCAGTTGTGCTGAATGTTATAAAAAAATTCTTGGATATTACTTAAAGCCTTGTACTAAAAATAGCAGAATAGGACTCCGTTGGAGTCATTTAGATGTGGGTTTGAATGTCAGTTCTCCACTTACTAATTACTAATTTTCTTAACTTCATTAACTTATTTATGAAGAGTAAAAATACTTTTTTCAGTTGTTAGTGGGATTAGAGGGAACATAGGAAAGTATCCAGCATAGTGCCTGGCATATAGTAGTGCTCACTAAATAATAGCCATTATAATTATTATACTTTAGTTCCCTATGGTTGCTGCCACATTTCATCTTAGCTATTCCCATTGCAGCTTCTGAAATTTTCCTGTTTACTCTGCAGCCCCTGAAATGCTGCTGCTTCATGCATGCCTTCTCATATTTCACATTGGAGTACATCAGGTTTTTACCCATGGGAGTAAAATCACTGAACTTATATGACGTGTTCCGTTGGCCCATCTTTCCCATTTGATTCCCATTTTGGAGGGCCATGTTCTTTTACTCACCAACCTGGTTTTGGTTCTCTTTCTGCTCTGTCATTTTTTTTTCTTCTTTCTTCCCTGTTTGAGTTCCAGTCTGTCTAGAAATTCTTGTATTTGAGAATAGTGAGTCCTTTTACTTTTCTTCTAGCAGAAGGTCTCATTTTCACTGATAGTGAATATGAATTACCAAGAAGTTAAAGTATACATAATTCACACTTGTTCATTCATTAGGACAATAATGTTTGAAATGAAGATACTTGGAGAGCTCTTATGTGTATGTAGCTATTTGGGATTCTGTCTCTGAAGTGTAGTATAAATGGTAGAAATAATTATGTAAGTAAATGTAAGTAGTAGAAATAAAAATACATATTTTCTAAAACCTACCAATCTTAATTATAATGAAGTTATTATTCTTTATCTTTGCAGGGATTCGTGGAACTGACTATATTTCCAACAGTTGCAAACTTGAATAGAATCAAGTTGAACAGCAAACAGTGTAGAATATACCGAGTAAGGATCAATGATTTAGAAGCTGCTTTTATTTATAATGACCCAACTTTGGAAGTCTGTCACAATGAATCAAAACAGTAAGTTTTGTACTTTAAAAGTTAATATTTCTGGGATCCCTGGGTGGCGCAGCGGTTTGGCGCCTGCCTTTGGCCCAGGGTGCGATCCTGGAGACCCAGGATCGAATCCCACATCGGGCTCCCAGTGCATGGAGCCTGCTTCTCCCTCTGCCTGTGTCTCTGCCTCTCTCTCTCTCTGTGGCTATCATAAATAAATAAAAAAATAAATAAATAAAAGTTAATATTTCTAATAGTTATATGTTCCCCATATTATTGGATTAATTTTTTAACAGATTTTTCTTAGATTATTATTGGACTCTGAATCCCAATTTTTTTCCTAATTGTAATTTCTCTTACCACTCTGCACACTTGGTTCAAGAAATTTTACTAGCTCTGCCCAACTAGTTTTAAAGAAGTATTACCTGAGAATTTTAAATAAATTTTTTCACCATTTTCCTACTTTTAATGTCTTTTAAAAAAATACTTCATAAATATTACATGTGATCTTCAGTAGGCTAGGTGGTTGCTATAATCCGTAGACCAGAGACTACTTTAAAATATTTATAAAATATTTTGACTGCTTTAGAATATCATGCAAAAATACTGTTTCTTAATATCTCTTTCCTTCACTTTAAATAAATACTGAATCTATTGAGGTTACGTCTCTTTTCTTTTTGGTTTTTTTGTTTTTGTTTTTGTTTTTGTTTTTAGTAAACATGTTGTGATCAGTTTTTTGTTTTTTTTTCATTTAAATATTTTGTCTCTACCACGTATGATATGCTTCACTTACTATCATTTTTATGGTCAGGTAATATCCCATTTACTTAGTAGTCTGCAGTTTGCATGATTGTTTTCGAGTTGTTTGGCATTTGTATAATTTCCAGCTTTTGATATCATAAGTATGTTGAGTGAATATTTTGGCACAGATAAGTTTATTCTTCTTTGAATTATTTCCTTGGGCAAATGGGATTACTTATTATTTTTAAGGCTTTTCTTAGTATTACTTGAGTCTGCCCAGTAACATTTGTATTAATTTAAGTACTGTCAGCACATTTGAGGGCACTTGTCTTTCCAAAGATTAGATTTGGATTGTATCATGATTCACTATTTTGGGGTGCATTGCCAAAATTTCATTATAACTTGTTTTTAGTCAAAATGGTATATTAGCTTGTCTGGATGCCATAAGGCAGCAATTCTCAAAGTGTGATTTCCAGACAGGCAGCATCAGCATCACCTGGAAACTTGTTAGAAAAAAATTAGCTAAAAACAGAGGGGAAGGCAAGCCATCAAAGACTCTTAACAATAGGAAACAAACTGAGGGGTTGCTAGAGGGGAGGTGGTGGTGGGGTGGGATGTTAAGGGGACACATGTTGTAATGAGCACTTGGTGTTACATGCAAGTGATGACACTAAATTCTCCTGAAACTAATACTGCAGTATATGTTAACTAACTAGAATTTAAATAAAATCTTGAAAGAAAAAAAAAAGACAAATGCAGATTCTCATGCTTTGGCTTAGATCTGCTGAATCAGAAACTCGGGATATATATATATAGTCCTGCAATTTATGTTTTAACTAGTGTGCCAGGTGATTCTGACTGAGGCAAATGCCTAAGAACATCACCTTAAGGGATTAGAAGGGTTGAGAAAGGAGGCTTATCTTTAGACATTTTATTTGGTTTGAATTATCATTGGTTCAGAATCTTTCAGACTTAGAGAATAAAAAAGGGAATGCTGTTGGAAAAATTCAGGGAATCTCTGAATCGCTCCCATAAATCCCATTTGATAAAGAGGAGTTGTTGAAATTACATTGCTTTTTCAGCCACACTTGTAGAACTTATATGAAAACACTTATTATGAAATCATTTGCATCTTTTTTCCCTCAGAAAAAAAAAAGAAAGACCTGTCTTTGAAGTAGCAAATATACATCACTAATGAATGGAAAAGGAACCTGTAAAAGGGTAGGGATGCCATTGCCTTCCTAGAGTCCAGAAAACTACCCAGTTAACGCTAGAACTATGCATTTGATAACAGGGTAAGAAGCCTCTCCATCTGCCAGTAACAAAACAATGTTTACACATCTGCTGTACCAGTTGTTGCTGCTCAGGTCTCAGAGAATATAATCTGTGATGGTGCAATGACAGGAACAATGGACTCTACATCTGTTGAGGAAGCCAGCTTTACTCTTGCCATGTTTGTTTTGCGGTCATTATATCCCCTAAAATTTTTCTGTAGTGATAGGGAAGATCTTCATCACTTATAGCATTGTAAAGAAAGGAAAGAGGAAGTTGTAAAGGGGAATCTTTTCAAAGGTTAGGTTAGGAAATTGAAAAAGAAAGAATATAATCTTTTCAGTTAGAACCAGAGCTCTGTTAGCCATGATCACTTAGCAGATCCTTGCTCACTACCCCTGCTTTACTACCAAGCTCTTGAATTTTTATTGCTTTTTAAGAGAGAGAACATTAGTTATTTTTTGCTGGTTTTTATTTGATTTATTAAAAAAAAAGGATTTGAGATCCAAGATGGCGGCCAGCAGGAGGATGAAGGAGCTTGAAGAAATCCGCAAATGTGGAATGAAAATCTTCCATAACATCCAGGTTGATGAAGCTAATTTATTGACTTGGCAAGGGCTTATTGTTCCTGACAACCCTCTATATGATAAGGGGGCCTTCAGAATCAAAATCAACTTTCCAGCAGAGTACCCATTCAAACCACTGAAGATCATATTTAATTTTTTTAATTAATTAATTAATTAATTATGATAGTCACAGAGAGAGATAGAGAGGCAGAGACACAGGTAGAGGGAGAAGCAGGCTCCATGCACCGGGAGCCCAATGTGGGATTCGATCCCGGGTCTCCAGGATTGCGCCCTGGGCCAAAGGCAGGCGCCAAACTACTGCGCCACCCAGGGATCCCTGAAGATCATATTTAAAACAGAGATCTATCACCCGAACATCGATGAAAAGGGGCAGGTCTGTCAGCCAGTAATTAGTGCTGAAAACTGGAAGCCAGCAACCAAAACTGACCAAGTAATCCAGTTCCTCATGGCACTGGTGAACGACCCCCAGCCCGAGCACCCACTTCGGGCTGACCTAACTGAAGAATACTCTAAGGACCGTAAAAAATTCTGTAAGAATGCTGAAGAGTTTACAAAGAAATACGGGGAGAAGCGACCTGTGAACTAAACTCTGCCACCACTGATTCCAGTGAGCGTGAGTGGAGACCCCTGGTGTTTGCTTGTGGCAGTTACTAACTTTCTTTTCTTTTTTTTTTTTTTTTTTTAGTTACTAACTTTCTACAGTTTTCTTAATCAAAAGCGGTCTAGGTAACCTGTAAAGAAAGGATTAAAAATTTAAGATGTTATAGAAAAAAAAAGGAAAAAAAAAAGGATTTGAGATTAGTTTTAGAATTTTGTTAGACAACTCTTTTAAAAAGTAGCTAATCAAATTAGCATGAAAATTAAAAAAAGCATGGGAGAGTGGGCACATGCTGTTAAGAACTATAGGAAAACTGTAGATTTAGGTTTGGTGTTTCTGGTTGCCATACCAAAGAGAGAAACACTATCGTTTTTTTTTTTGTTTGTTTGTTTTTGGGTTTTTTTTACACTATCGTTTTTATACAATTGATAAGACACAAGATAGAAGCATACCAATTATCCAGAAGAAATACTGCTTTCCTTAGAAGTTAGAGGTGAAAAATGTCTGTCCTAAATGACATTATTTTTAGAGAACTTGGGGAAAGGCGGATAGTTAAGGTCTTTATTGTGTCCCTAGATACTTCTCTTACTGTTGTTTCTAAAGTCACTTTCTTTCACACTAAAGCTGAAACAAATTAGGTATAGCAGTTTGAAATTGAAAATTAAATTCTGTGATAAAATTTGATCTTTAGTATCTACAAGAATGCCCTAACATCCAAATAAGTAATACACTACTTCTTCATATTTTCTTCTTTGTTTTAAAGTTAAGGTGCCAGCCAGGCCCTCCCATTTTTAATGGAAAAAGTGTGCTTACCTTGGTTGAAATTCAGTACCTTTGAACTGTAGGGGGAATGTAAGGAAGGGAAACATTTAGATAAGAAACTGAAAGACATTTCTACCTATTTTACCCAGCTAAATGTTAGCTGAGCTGTTAGTTACCTGTGCTAGCAATTAAAAATCCTATTAGGGGATCCCTGGGTGGCGCAGCGGTTTAGCGCCTGCCTTTGGCCCAGGGCGCGATCCTGGAGACCCGGGATCGAATCCCACATCGGGCTCCCAGTGCATGGAGCTTGCTTCTCCCTCTGCCTATGTCTCTGCCTCTCTCTCTCTCTCTCTCTCTCTGTGTGTGTGTGTGTGACTATCATAAATAAAAAAAAATAAAATTAAATTAAAAAATAAATAAAAATCCTATTAGGTAACATCGATAAGGCACATGCTTGATTTCTCTCTCTCTCTCGACTTACTGTCTGCCAGTAAAATAATTACAGCACTTTCTCTAAATCTTATGTTTGAATCTTATATATTGTTGATAAAGTATAGTTTGCCATACAAGATCTATGGCTTTTTGGTTCACTTTTGTCCTTTTTTTTTTTTTTTTTTTTTTTTGCTGTATTGTCTCTTCTTAGAGTAAAATAAATACAGACTTTGCCAGAGAAGCTGTTTCTGTGGACTATAGTAGTTGACATCTCTTTCCTTTGTTTCTTTTTCTTCCCTAGATAGGCTTTGCCACTTTGAGAAGATACTTTTTATTTTGCTTGAAAAACTTCAGTGTTCCAGATTCCAAGAATCAGTTTAATTCCTGTCTGCTATGTTCATTTTTGCTAGGGAATGGCAACAGAAATGACCACTCTAGAGATATAAATGAAGTAACTATTGAGTGATTAGAATGATTTTTAGAGTAATTGATTTTTTTAATTGTTTTTTAATTTTATTTTTTGCTATTTTTTAAAAAAGATTTTGTAGATTCTTTATTTTAATACAGGCTTCTACTACATAGAGATTTTAAATGTTGTTATTTTACTAATATTCACAGAGTAGAAATAGGTGATTCCTGCTTCTGATTATGGTTAAGTAAGCTTTGTATTAAGATAGTTGTATATTTTAACTCAACCACAATGCCTCACTGCCTGTTCTTAGTAGTACTGCTTGGGATCAAGTTGTGGTAGTTAGAGGAACATTGAAGTTCATTTAGTCAGAACCTTAAGTATTTTTCCTATACTACTTCACCTTCTGCTTGAATGCTTCTAGCTCTGGAGAGCTCACTATATTTTAAAGCACCCTTTTCATTATTTTTGAATGCTAGTAAGTTCTTTATTACATCAGACTATAGTTTGTTTTGGTATAATATTCACAAACTTATCCATTTAAATATTATTATATCCTAATTAAATATTGTTTTCCTCTAAATTTTCTCTTTTCTAGTCTACAGAATCTTAATACTTCCAACCCTTCCCAAATTTGTTAGCATTCCCACCCTCTGAATATTCTCTGGCTTGGCATTGTTTTTTCTAAATGAAGTAGCCCTGAAATTAGAAATAGTGTTTCCTTTTTGGATTAATTGATAGATGCATAGCAGTAGAGTCATTTTGTCTTTATCTGTATTCAGTATTTATGTAGCTTGAAATACATTAGCCTTTCACACATGGCTGCTTTGTTTTGTTTTGATTCAATTTTTTTCTTCAAATGTTTATTTAAATAACATATAGTGTAATATTGATTTCAAGAATAGCATTTAGTGATTCATCACTTGCATAGAACACCCAGTGCTCGTCATAACAAGTGCCCTCCTTAATACTGAACACCCATTTAGCCCATTCCCCCACACACCTCCCTCCATCAACCCTCAGTTTGTTCTGTTTTTAGGTCTCTTACTGTTTGCTTCCCTCTTTCTCTGTTTTCTCCCCCATTCCCATATATTCATCTGTTTTGTTTCCTGAATTCCACATAAGAGTGAAATCATCCAGTATTTGTCTTTCTGTGACTTATTTCACTTACCATAATATGCTCTAACTCCATCCATGTTGTTGTAAATGGCAAGATTTCATTCTTTTTCTTTATGTATATATATATATCTACTACATCTTTATCCCTTCATCAGCTGATGGACACTTGGACTCTTTCCATAATTTGGCTATTGTTGATTATGCTGCTATAAGTATTGGGGTGCATATACCCCTTCAAATCTAGTAGTGCAATTGCTGGATCATAGGATAGTTCTATTTTTAACTTTTTGAGGCACCTTTATATTGTCTTCCAGAGTAGCTGCACCAGCTTGCATTCCACCAACAGTTAAGAGGGTTCCCTTTTTTCTGTATTCTGACTGACATATTGTTTTCTGTCTTGTTAATTTTAGACTATTGGCTACTTTGAGTAGTTCATTCAAGTTTGAGCTTGAGTGAAATGCCCTAGACTTTTTCATAGAAAAACCTGTTCAGGTACAGTTTTCTCCAACCAACCTTACTTCATACTATCATATCAAATATTGTTTTGATTATTTTTAAGAAGTAGTCTTTATTAACTTGAGAATTGGTTTCATTTTTGGAAAATGGCTTTTCCTGCTGGCTTTTCTTTCTTTTTTTTTCCTGTGTGCAAACTATCAAAACCAAAGACAGAAGAGAAACCAAGTATTGACATGAATGTACAGTAACTAGTGCTTTCAATCACGGCTAATAGAAATGTAAATTGAGTTGAATATATGCATACTCTGATTAAAGTAGGTCTTATTTGTAGGTATGTATTCAATAAAAATGTGTTCATATGTTCACCAAAAAATGTGTACAGAAATGTTCACAGTAGCATTTGTAATAGTCAAAACTGGAAATTACCTGCAAAACTGGAAATTACCTGAAGACTCATCAGTGGTAGAGATAGATTGTGATATGTTTTCACACCATTGGAATTCTAAACAGTAACAAGAATGAATGACCAATAGCTATATGCAGTAATATGTCTGGATCTCACAGATATGACATTAAGTAAAAGAAGTCCAACACAAGAAAATGTCTATTAAGTTGTTAATCTGTTACTTTAGTTGTCAGAATGACGATGACACTTGGTGGTGGGGGTGGGGCTTGATTAATGATTATAGGAGGGCTTCTGAGAGACTGGTAAAGTTGTGTTTTTGCTCTGCATACTGGCTGCTTTTGTTCTGTGAAAATTTGTTGAGCTGTATATTTAGAGCATATATATTTTTCTGATGTGTATTGTACTTCCATGATTTTTTTTTAAATAGAGAAAAAGTTCACAAATAATTGAATCCTCAGTTTTGTAAAATCTGCACCCATAGTTTTAAGAAGTATATGTTATTGACAAAGAATTACCAAATTATTTTAATATAAATGTTTATAATAGGTTTTTGGAGAAAATTCTTTTGATTACCTTAATTTACTAGTTTTTCAGTATCATACAGCATTACTTGTTTCTTTAAGCTTTGTTTCCTTGAGGGAGGGGATGGGGATTGGGAACTGAAAGTTGAGGATAGTGGTGGTTATAGGGCAAGGACATACTAATATTTTGCAGTCATTATTATTCTGAAAATTGAAAACACTATAATCTTGCCCTGTGATTTTTGGCTTTAATGAGGTTATTCTGAAAAGAAACAGATTTGATTCATATTATGAAAGGAAACACTGAAATCCAAACCATGAGAAGATTGTTCTTCAAAACTGACTTTCCAATAGATTCCACTTACAATGACTCACCATTTTATTTGGACCACTTTACCTCTTCTCAGGAAATGAGGAGATTAAGTGAGAATAATTTCCCATAAAAAAACTGAGTGTCCTAATAGGTAATGTTTAAATTTGGCTTTTTATGTAATGATTGTCTTTTATTTTTTTAATTTTACAGAAAACTGGGGGGAAATTACAGGTTTCTTCAGCTATCTTTCATGTTTCTGAAATTTTATTAAAAAGAAATTTTAGTCTATGGATGTACAGAGTAGCCTTTAAAATTAGATGGTATGTTAACTAAGCACTGGCAAGAATGTGGAGCAGCTGGCACTTGGGAATGTGGAATGGTATAACCATTCTGGAAAACAGTTTGGCATATTCTTATAAAGCTAAACATATCTTACCATCTGATTCAGCAGTCCCACTCTTGGGTATTTGTACTACAAAAATGAAAATTAAATTCACATAAAAAATACACAGTTATTCATAGTAGTTTTATTTGTGATAGCCAAAAGCTAGAAACAACCCACATTGTTCTTCAGTGGCTGAATGAATAAACAATAAATAATCTGAGGTCCAGTCTATACAGTGGAATACTATTCAGTGTGCAGAGGAAGAAACTATTGATACATGTAATGCCTGAGAAGAATTTCAAAGGCATACTGAGTAAGACAAGCCAGCCTCACAAGATTGCTTTCTGTATGACTCCCATTTATTTGACACAAGGCATCATAGCACAAGGGACTGTTTAGGGTAATGGACCTGTTCTGCATCCTTATTGTGGTGGTGGTTACACATGTGTAAGAATTTATAGAATTATATACCAAAGGAAAAAGAATTATTTGTACTGTATAATAATTTTTTAAAAAAATAGATCGTATGTGAAAACACAGAGTTGTTCATTTTTATTGTGGTCCTGTGGCTTTTACACATTTTACATATTTATCTAACAGGAAGAAATAGTTAAAATTATTGAGAAGTCTAAGTGCTTCTAGAATCTTATGTTGTGTAGTTAAAGACTATAGTTACTACATCTTTCTAGTTAGAGAGATAGAAATGGAAGGAGAATGGCCTCTGTCGGGTTCAGGGTGTATAACTTTGTTTTCTTTAATGGCTTTTCCCATTTTATTTTTCTTGTAATCAGTCTGTACAGTGAATGTACTCAATGAATTACCTGATATGTTCAATACTTTATTATAAGATAGGCTTTGTGTTAGATGATTTTGCTCCATGGGAGGCTAATGTAAGTGTACTGAGCACATTTATGGTAGGCTAGGCTAAGCTATGATATTTTGGTAGGTTAGGTGTATTAGATGCGTTTCAACTTAGAATATTTTCAATTTATGAGTTTACTGGGATACAATTCCATTGTAAGTGGAGGGAGGTCTGTTTTTATATATATATATACATACACACACATGTAAATTGTTTGTAATGGGCAGCCCGGGTGGCTCAGCAGTTTAGCGCCGCCTTCAGCCCAGGGCCTGATCCTGGAGACCCGGGATCGAGTCCCACGTCAGGCTCCCTGCATGGAGCCTGCTTCTCCCTCTGCCTGTGTCTCTGCCTCTCTTTCTGTGTGTGTGTCTCTCATGAATAAATAAATGAAAATCTTTAAAAAAATTAAAATAAAAATAGTAGTGAAATAAAATTAGAAATTGGATGGGAACGATGTTTTAATATTTCATAATACTTCTGTGTGTTGTTTTCATCTAATGGGAAATAAGGCCAAGTAACTCTTAAATAATGATTGAGTAGCCCCCTGGCATATAGGAGATAAAACAGCGAAGCAGCCAAAAGTTTCCCTCCTTCCTTAAGCTTATATTGTCAGGCACTGGGGTGTGAAGGTAAGTAGTATTACATTTTGAGGACTTGATACCCATTCTCACTTGTTTTAAACATTGTAAGTTCTGTCAGATTGTAGAGCTTGAATCCAGTGAAATTTTTGCCAGATTGATGAATAATTATTTCTTCAATTCTACATATATTCTTCTCACTTCTATCATGAAAGTATAGTGGCTTTAGCATTCCAAAACTAATGAAGGATATGGTGATCATAATAATCCCATAGCTTTGCCAAATAGACTATATGTGACATTGTATTTATAATTTAATAGGTTTTGTCATGGTGGGTAGAGTAATAGTTACTTGGCTAAAGAGTATTCTCATAAAATGATATACTTAACAAATGCTACCAAATATTTAAGAAAATATTTGGTGAAATGTTTGGTTTATTATTAAAACAGGCTCTTTTTGTATTTTCCAGGAGAAATCTTAATTATTTTTCCAATGCTTACGCAGCTGCAGTTAGTGCTGTGGATCCTGACGCAGGAAATGGAGAACTTTGCATAAAGGTTCCATCAGAGTTATGGAAACACGTTGATGGTAAAATACAAAAAATATATTGACTGTAAAATCATGTTAGACTCAGTGACTGAACTTTCACATGAAAATTAATGATGCCATAATTACAAATTAATAAGTTGAAATATACAGAAATTGGAAACTTTTTTCTTAAGGATTACTGGTTAATAGGAAAATAGCAATTAAGGGCTGTGACAAAAAACCTATTCACTGTTGTTTTTAAAGTTGATAGTTAAAAAAAGAATTGGATGGATGGAATAATTTGTCAAGAATTAAGATTGCATGAGTGTCAAAGCAGTTTAGAATTATAGCATTTCATAGCAGGAAGAATCCTAAAAAAATCACCTGGTTCAATTCTTTCCTTTTACAGAAGAGTAATCTGAAGTCCAGACAGTGAGTGAACTATTGAAGGTCACTGATTATTAGTTGAGTCAATGCTAAAACATAGGGTTCTGTGGTCTGCACTTTTAAGCACACTCTTATTATATCTAAATCATTTTCTTTTGTATAAAGTCACAGCTATTATAATTACTATATATAACTTGCCTCCTTTATTTAGCCTATAACCAGATGAAGAAGTAAAAAAACTTTTTTTTTTTTTTTTAATAGTTTGTATGTTTGGCCAGGGGTTTCTTGAGGGGGGTTACCCAATTAGACGGCTATCGTTTTGTGTTCAGAATTTGAGCTCGTATGGTTGTAGTGCTTTGAGGGAAATTAAAAAGAAACCTTTTAATTTTATGAAAGCAACATATATGTGTTAGGTAGATATCAAAGATAATATAATAAATAATGGATTATGTAAATTCCCAGGTAGCTTTTCCTACTCACCCCCTACTCCTATTCCCCAAAGTCAACTAGGGTTAATAATCTGGGGGGCTTTTTAGGTCCTTATTTTTCAAGTTTTGCATTGGATTTAGTTTTGAACTTTTTTCTGTAGGCAGTATAACATTATCAGAAATGTTGAGATGAGGATATGGCATGACCTGAGCCATATTTTGGGAGAATGCAGCTAGCAGTGCTAGAATTGAGTGGAAGTAAGGACATCAGTAGAGGCGGGCTCTTGAGTTAGTATAGGTGGAGAGAAGGTGAGAGCCTAAACCAGGGTAAGTAGTGTAGTTTTTCACGTAAAACTGAGCTTCGATTCCCATTTTATGTTTAGTGTAAGTCTTTGCCCTTATTATATAGACTGCTGTTACTTAATTATATATTTACATATCAATGTATGTATATATTTATTTGTTGCAGAATTAAAGGTCCTAAAGATACACATCAATTTTTCTTTGGATCAGCCAAAAGGAGGTCTTCATTTTGTGGTACCCAGTGTTGAGGGAAGTATGGCAGAGAGAGGTGCTCATGTTTTCTCTTGTGGGTATCAAAATTCCACAAGGTAGATTACTCTTATATATTTCAGTTAATTTCCTTTTTCAGTTGCATTTTTTCTGTGTATACACAATACATGTATTTAGTGTAAAATGAGAAGTATGAATTTGATCCTCAAATTTACCTCTTCTGAATCTGTTCCACTAGTTGTTCCCCTTAGTTCTGTCTTCCCTTTTCTCTTTCCTTCTCAAAAAAGAGACTGTTCTAAAATCATCTCAATTCTTTATTTTTTAACTTTATACTGATGTAAAATAACATACAGAAAATTATACAAATTGTAAATAATAGTGAATTTTCACTAGTGAACAAACCTGTGTAATTCACATTCACATCAAGAAAAAGAACATTACCAGCATACCCACTTCAATTCACTACTTGCCCACCTAATGTCCTCCTGCCCAGGTTAACCACTATTCTGATTTCTAAAATAGCATAGCTTGACACCTGCTTTTGAACTTTATATAAATGGAAGTGTCTGCATTATGCTCTTGATATCTGTCTTTTTCTGTTCAACACTATGGTAGTTAAGATTTACTTTCATTGTTGTGTATAATTGTAGTTTGTGTTCAAAGCTCAATAGCTCACTGTATGTTACTGAATTATGCGCATTCTCTTCAGATTGTTTTTAGTAATCCTCAGATTATTAACTCCTTCAAGTCAGGGATGATGTCTTAGACTTCTTTGTGTTGCAATATCAGATATATACCCTTGCAGGTAGTAAAATCAGTGATCTTGATAGAAAGGGGAATAGAAATTTTATGTCTGGCTTTACGAGCATTATTTGGATTTATAGTGCATCCCATCTAATCTCCAAAAACAATTTGAGATTAGATTCTGAATATTGTGTTTTTTAAAACTTTATTATAAGCTTTTTTAGTTTCCAGAAATGAATACTACATAAAAACTGACTAATGTGAATATTGCAAGTGAAAATAATTTTTAATTTAAAAATGCAGAGCTAGGAATTATCTCTTTTTTAAGGATTTGAACTGGCAGCATCATATGATATATTTTCCTAATATTGCCAAATAATATTTGGAGGAAATTTCTATCTTTAATTAGATTCTTTCAAGTTACACAGTGAAAAGCTCACTAGGGAAATACCTGAAATTTCTTTTTGCGCATATTCTACAAATGTTAGAGTAACTTATAAGTAAGGGAAACAATGTAGGTTACATTTTCACTATATTTTTAATGCTGGTGATATTTTTTTTCTAGATTTTGGTTCCCATGTGTTGATTCATACTCTGAATTATGTACATGGAAATTAGAATTTACAGTAGATGCCGCAATGGTGGCTGTTTCCAATGGAGATTTGGTGGAGACAGTCTATACCCATGATATGAGGAAGAAGACCTTTCATTACATGCTTGCCATTCCAACAGCTGCATCAAATATCTCTTTGGCCATCGGACCTTTTGAAATACTTGTAGATCCCTATATGCACGAGGTAAGTCATAGCTTCATGTTCCTTTCTCCTCCCAGCCTTTCACTTCTAATAAAAGGAAGGATAGTAATGAAATACTGAGTTTTTCCTAACTCTTCTTTCAATTATCCAGAATATCACTAGAGAGAAAAGGATTCCTTATCTGATATATTTAATGATGTGAATTCATGAATGAATTCCTTTCAAAATGTTCATATATTAAAGTTTTAGATTTTTTTCAACAGAGAGCTTAGAGTTCCAAAGGAGTTTCAAGTGTACCTTGATTAGTATGAGTCCATATATGTAACTACTTTATGCTCATGTCGTTTTTTTGTTTGGCATATGTTTATGAATGTTATAGTCCCGTCTCTGGAATTTGAAATACTGCAATTTCAAAATTAAAGAACAAGATTTGTTCTCAGTTCAGCGCATAGAGAGGAAAAAAAGATAAGGCTGAAACAGAGTTTAGAATTCTAGTCAACACTCTCATTAAGGCTTGTTGCAGTGTTCTTCTATCCCATATCATGCCAGAAATTGTATATTAATTGGTAGACCAAGTACTGCTTTTAGGCCTCCCCAAGCATGAGACTTCTGGTGTTTAGGAAGTGATGTGTTAGTTATTGGCCCTTTCTACTTCTGTACCTATTTAAATAAGTATCTTTTTATTTACTCCTGTCTCTAACATTTTTAATTTTAGATTTTTATTTCTTAGTATAAAGCTAAGATATACATTTGACCATGAATGTTTCGACAATATTTCTTTGTGTAAGCAAAAATTGTGTAAGGGCAATTAGGTTTAGACTGTCAGTTATCTCCTCAGTCTGTTCTTATATTTGTCTTCCTGAAATTGACAAGATTTATAAAATCACTGGTGGAAAAGATTCAGGATATTTTATGAATGGTTTTGCTTTTGCTGGCTTGACAGTGACTCTTAAAAATATATTCACTGATAAAATTGGCAGTGAATTTTATTATCTTTGGTAAATGGTCAGCTTAAAATCAACATTTGATTAGTACCTACTTAGTATTTTGGAATAATTTTTCCCCCTCCCCAAGCCATTGGATAAGAGAAAGGTAAATGATAGTTAAGAAGTATTTTTCTTGAATACTTAGAGCCCACTTAGTCTTTCTCAGTCTCAAATAGTTTTTAGTGCATTATCAGATTGTCTGTCATGTATGTTTTTCTAAATGTGAATCTTTTTTTTTTCATGAATAGTATTTTGATTTTTGTGTACCCCAGAAGAGTGCTAATTATGATGCAGTTTGGACCCTTGACCATTCATTAATCATACATAGATCCTCATTCACTCATGTATATTAGTCTTTAATCTGTTTTAACACTGTTAGAAGAATAATTTTTATCATACATTAAAAACTTTCCTTGACTCCACAATCCTGCAATAATCAGAACTGTGTAGTATGACTTTCAGGATATTCTAGGATTTGGCCCTAATTTTCCTTTCTAGCTTTTTTTCTCTATTACTTTCCTGTTGGTTTGTTGTATTCAATAGTTACTTAGATTCTCCTGACCATACCATATATCTTTCTATCTTTGACTTTGAGGTGTCCTCTTTACCTCTTCATTCCAATCAAACTTCTGTCCAATTCAAAAAGATTAGCTCATATTTAATCTCCGTCAATGTTGATACCATTGATTTGGCACAGAATAATAACATAGGAGGAGGTGGTACATGATATTTGAGTGACCATGTCCAAGGTGGGACATGACAAGTACAGTATTCACTAGGTTAGCTATATGTGAATCAAAGGTGGGTTTGCAATAAGCCTGGAAAATTTAAATCTTTGCTTTGTATGCTTATGCAGAAGACATTTTAATTTCAAACGGAAGGTGTATTTTTATTGGATCTAAGCATTTCACAGACTTAAAATCCATCATGAGTTTAATTTTCAAGTACAGTGAATATGATACTTTTTTTGTAATTTCACACTAGTATTTTACCTCATTGCTGTTAAACGGATTTATATGAAGTTTTCCTTACGATTGAGATAGGAAATTTAAAATACTAAAGGTAGCATTTTCATTTAGTGATCTTCTGACCTTTTTATTTTCAGGTTACTCATTTCTGTTTACCTCAACTTCTTCCATTGCTTAAACATACTACGTCATATCTTCATGAAGTTTTTGAATTTTATGAAGAAATTCTTACATGCCGATACCCTTATTCCTGTTTTAAAACTGTATTCATTGATGAGGCTTATGTTGAAGTGGCTGCTTATGCTTCCATGAGCATTTTTAGGTTGGTATTTCTTAAGATTGGAAATGACCAAATGAGGGTAATGATCTGAAGATAGGTTATTTAGTCTCTTCTGTTTATGCACTAAAAAATCATACAGGTTATATATTGGTTGTCTCATGGATTTTTTTCCTAGCATCTTTAAAAGTTTACTGATGTCAGAAATCTCTTTGCCAATTATAAAAGAGAGAAAACTTAATTTTTTTTTCTTTCTTATCCTGCCTTACCTTCACACCTTCTTTCTTTCCTTGGAAAGTTCCAGATTTATAAAATATGTCTTAGGTTCAATCATTTTATCCTATCTGGGCCTAAATTTTCTCATGTGTAAAAGGGGAATAATAATAATAATACTGCCCCTGTGTTCTCTGGAGTGTGTTATCAAAATCATATGGGTCAATGTGTTTGAAAGAAAAAAATGGAGCTCAAAAAATTAATAAGGGTGACTGCCTGGCTCACACGTGACTCTTGATTTTGAAGTTGTGAGTTCAGCCCTGCGTTGGGTATAGACCTTACTTTTAAAAAATTAATAATAATAATAGTTATTATTGGAAAAAGGGTTTTGAAATTAGAGGAGCTCTTCATAGGAGGATCAGTTAATGATGAACATATCCATTTCTGGCTAATAATTCCTCTTCCCCCCAGAAAAAGATACTTACATTTTTCATGGAAATCAGTGGGAAACATTATAGTCCTTGTTTTAAGCAAAAGTTAATGAAGATTATGGATTTAATCTAAATTTTGAAAAGATGTGAAAGCTTTTGGAAGAATATTCCGTTTTTTCTCTTTTATGTCTAACTTGAATTTTATTTTAAAAGTGTGGTTATTTTATTTTGACTGAATCATTGTTTGTTTCTTGGTTATAATTAACTGTTTCTTCTCTTAAATTCCAGCACAAATCTGTTACATAGTGCTATGATTATAGATGAGACACCTCTGACTAGAAGGTGTTTAGCCCAGTCCTTGGCACAGCAGTTTTTTGGATGTTTCATATCCAGAATGTCTTGGTGAGTGATTTCATAGTTTATAGCTACTGAGAAAAAGAATTAGGAAAGTTTGTGTGTGTGTGTGTGTTTTTTTTAATTTTCCTGTATTTTCTTTTCTCTATATATATTTATTTTTTTTCTATGTATATATTTAGAGAAAAATAGTGATTATAAATGTCATCCCAAATTTTTGGCTATCAATTCAATATAGTTCTATAATTTTTAAAAGAGTTTTGACAGCAACAGTTTCTTAGAAAATTAAATGAATACTATACATATAAGGCCTTGAATGTGTAGAAAACTAGTTAAAATTCTAATGTCAATGTTCATTGTAAGTGATAATATTCCAAATCATGAATAAAGCAAAATAACAGTCTTCTACAATAGTGATAACGATGTAGGGATTTTCTGGTAGTGTTTTAACTTTGTACTAATATACTTGAAAGAAGTAAGAGATAAGAACACTTCATTGTTTTGATTGACTTGAGAGGAATTCAAAGAAATACATGGAACTTCCCTTAGGATTATAATTTTTTTTGTGATCACTCTATGCTAGTCATGACTATCAGTTGATTTCTTTTTCTTTTTTGTTGACAGAGGGTAAGTCCTCTGGAATTATGTTATTCTTGCATAATAACATAGTTTCAGTGAAGAATAGTGCCTGGAATATAGTAGGCAAAATGTTTGAATAAATGAATGAGTGGATAAGTATATGAATGAATACATGATTGAATGGTATTAATTCCCTTTCCTCTTGAGAAACCAAAAATAAGGGACTCCTGGGTGGCTCAGCGGTTGAGCGTTTGCCTTCAGCTCAGGGCGTGATCCTGGAGTTCCAGTATCGAGTCCCACATCGGGCTTTTTGCATGGAGCCTTGCTTCTTCTTCTGCCAGTGTCTCTGCCTCTCTCTCTCTCTCTCTCTCTCTGTCTCTCATGAATAAATAAATTAAAATCTTTTAAAAAAAGAGAGAGAGAGAAACCAAAAATAAGTAATTGAAGTTTAGATCTTGGAATCCCATTGATAATTATGCATGGGATTGGCAAATGTGAACCTTAAAAATATAGCCAGTGCAGTCCTTACTTTGAGGTAAGTATTTCCTTGGAGGCAGACAATTATGGACTCAAGTTGGCCAAGAAGGAAAAGGTACGAACATAGTTAACATTACTTGAAATAAGGCTGGAAAGCAGATGTGAGGAAGGCATAATGAATGGATAAGTAGAACTCAGTGGGAGGAAGTGGTTAAACAAAATATTTTGTTTAAAAACTTTTAATTATTTTTTCATTTTTTTAAGAATGTACAAAAGGACACACTATAACTTGTTCTGTTCTCCTCTTCAGTCTTATCCAAAAAATTTTTATGATTAAAAGAATATATTTTGACTTCTTGCATAGGTCTGATGAATGGGTATTGAAAGGAATTTCCGGCTATATTTATGGACTTTGGATGAAAAAAACTTTTGGTGTTAATGAATACCGCCATTGGATTAAAGAGGTAAAAACAGCCAGATCTATTACTTATTTAGAAGTCAACAAGACATGTTAGTGTTCTCCTGATTTGCAAATCACTTCTCCTTTCCTTTTCATAATTGTAAAATACTGTCATTTGCAAGTACCTAATTTTTCCCATCAAAATAAAAATCACTTTAATGAGAAAGATGAATGGTCTGTTTTATCTAGTGTTGACTTCCAAGGAGTTTTTTGCTAAGCAAGAGAGTATTTAAGCTCCTTCAATGTCAAATTAGTTGTTAGATATATCCAAGCTCCTTGTAGTATTCATTTGTAATGTAATTCTGTGCTTCCTAAATTTGTTTAGACATAGAGCCTAGCTTTTGGAGTCAGATTGCTTTTCAGTTTACCACATATATTTACAAGCTTTATGACTTTGGTTAATCTTTTTAAGTCTCATCTTTAATAAAAAGAGTAAATGGGGATTGTGAGACTTCATACATGTAATGTGCATGGTGCCTTGTACATAGTAAGTGCTTATCATGCTGGCTAGCCCTTCAGTGCATTTATGTTCTCTGTCAGTGTCACATCTTTTCCCTATTATTTAAAGATTTGGCCAAAAAGAAAAAAATCAACTGTGTTTTGCCTAGCCCATTCTGTTCATGTACATATACATTTTACTCATCTTGTGCTTAACTCCTTCCTTCTCAGGCGGAAAAATTTCAACCTTTAATATCTTTATGAAATAGACCCCTCCATCTTCCCCTTTTCTCATTTTATGTATCTTTGTCATCCAAACCTAAACTCAAGTAAGCCAAAAGGTAATTATAAAGGCTTTCAAACATCTAGAACCATAAAAGAATTCATATATCCAAACTAGAAGAGTCCATTCTTCATTTCAGAAACTATTAATTAAGGGAAAAAAATAACATATAGCACTTGCAAGATTTCAGGAACTATCATAAACATTTTATAACTATTAACTGTATTAATCTATCTAACTACCCTGTTATTATGCTGATTATATGAGGATTAGGTGAAGAAACTGAGGCACAGAGAGGTTAAATTATTTGGCCAAAGTTACACAGCTAGTAAGTAGTAGAGCCAGAATCCAAACCTGGCTTATAACCACTACATTGTTATTTTTACCACTTCTGTATACTGCTTATATGTTATTTAAACGGGCCACGAGTTTCTAACATAGTTCTGTTGTCTTTTGTTTTTCACTTAAAACTTTTTTTTCCACTTTGATCTATGTCATATTAAAGAAGACTGAAGAAGTTTTAAAATAGTAGATCCCTGACATAATTTTACCTCCATTTCTTTTTATTTGTCTAAATCTTCCACCAGAAACAAAACACAGAAAAGAAACAAATGAACTTGGAACACAGATCAGAGAGGTTGGGAAGAGCCATTAAGGAAACATCGGCAGGCTGCTGGCCAGCCCTGGAATCACAAAGGAGAGAAGGCTTTTTGGCACGATTATTGAGCCAGCTGTGTAGTCTGCTTTGTTTATAAGAACATAAACTACTTTACAAATACATTTAATGTATTATAAGACATTTAAATTTTGATTCCAGGAAATCAGAAATCACAATTCAGTTCTAAAATTTGGCATGTATAATAATTTTCACGGACTCCTCTATTTTTATATTTTTTAGGAGCTAGACAAAATAGTGGCGTATGAACTAAAAACTGGTGGAGTTTTACTACATCCCATATTTGGTGGAGGAAAAGAGAAGGATAAGTAAGTTTGTTGTTCAGAGGTGATATTATAAACCTTGTGTTATGGGTTCCATCTTTCAGGATTATTTGGGATGTGTATGGAGACCCATACAAGCCAAAACAATAGTATGTAATAATATCAAAGCCACAAATACTGGTAACACTCTCATTACTCTTTTCCTTACTTTACTATTTTTACTACATGTGGTGGCTGCAGATGTATTTAAACAGTAAAGAAAGACTAAAAAAGTAGAAGGCTTTCCTCTTTTCCATGTAAATTTGCAGATGCTACTATATATACTGTTCTTAGAAAAGTTTAAAAATAATGGAAACAAGTATTTTGCTTATGGACCACTGATTATTTTTTTAAATCTAAGTAGATAATTTCAGTTTCAGGACATCATACCTATAACTGTTTATCTGAATGGTCACCTACCTAGACACTTAATTAGTCTCTGCTTTTCCCCTTCTTTCTTTTATATCACTCCCTCTCTACCTACCCTCTCTTCTTTCTTTCCCTTTCTCTCTTTCGTTGTATAGCAAGTCCCTGTAAGGAAGACAGCCACTTAGAGCAAAATAGTGTTACTATCAGGAAATCTTGTTTGTTCTAGTGCCCATGGATTCCCTAAGAGAATATGGATTGAAGTGGATGGGAAAACGTTTCTGTATCTTCACTAACCATTAGCTGACGGTTTATATTTTCCTTAATTATAAATGTAGGCAACAGACAGTGCTGTGACTTTGTCAACAGTAGAAATTATAGATCTTTCCTGTCACATTATAATTGTTAGCAGATATTTTGAAGTACTCTGCACTTACCGCCACCTCAGTTTTACTATAATAGACCACTGCCAGGTCTTGTTATTCAATGCATGAATAAACTAGCACATATATTGGTATATCATAATTTTTAAATATTTTTATAGCTGCATTTCATTATAATTGGTTTTCTTTGTAATTCTGTGCATTTTATTTTGCGCATATGAAAGCAATTTCTCAAAAGGGACCCATAGGATTAACTGGGCTGCCCAAGTGTCTAAAAGCACCACAGAGTTAAGAAACTTGAAGTTATTTAACTGGTAGCCTTTTCTTTGTTGTAACATGGTCACCAAGACGAGAGTAAGTTTGGGGGAAAGCATAGAAATTTGGAGTTAGACAAACTTTGAATTCTTGTCGTTATTTTTGTGATTTGAGAAAATTGTATAACCTTTCTGTGTATGTGTTTGGATGTATAAAATGACAGTCCATCTTAACCTGGGTTAGTTGTATTACTTGAGGTCAGGTTTCATAAATGTTAGTTCCTTTCACTTTCTTCTTCTGACTGCCTGCTGTATGGCAGTTTCCCAGCATATAATTAGAGCATTACCATGGTATATAAATATTATTTACACTAAATGCTTTTACTTTGGTTCTGTCCATTTATTTAGCTCTTGTATGTTTAATTTTTAAAGGGAAAAAAGGTCTGGAAGTAATATACCTCCCTCCCACCAGTTCCTCTTTTTGGAGATAACTCTGAGTATAAATTTGGTATATTGTTTCCAGACTGTGTGTGTGTGTGTGTGTGTGTGTGTGTGTCTTAATGTATGGCATTACCAAATGTAGTTCAATCATACACATATGACTATATAAATATGAAATTGGTAAATACTTTAAATTTCCATATGCCATTTTTTTAAAGATTTTATTTATTTACTTGAGAGAGTGAGCGAGAGCAAGAGAGAGAAAGCACCTGTACGTACTAGTAGGAGGAGGGGCAGAAGGAGAGGGAGAAGCAGGCTCTCTGCTGAGATGGGAGCCCAGTGCAGGGCTCCATCCTGGGACTCCAGGATCATGACATGAGCCAAAAGCAGACGCTTAACCAACTGAGCCACCCATGTGCCCCCATGTTTTTAAGGAAGTGTAATGACTACTCTTAAACATTGATTGTGAGGGTATAATTTGGTACAGTGATTTTTGAAGGGTTATTTTATGTAATTTTCAGATTCAGTAGTTGTATTTCTAGCTGTGTTGTCATACAGATATTTTACTTCTAGACATTTGTGATACAGAAATACTTGTGCATATGTAAAGACATTCACTATAACATTGTTTAAAATAGTGAAAAATTTTAAACACCTTAAATGCTATATATGTCATATTTTTTTTTTTACCAGACTGTACCTTTTTTTAATCTGATGATCTCTTTCATCATTTCAAAATTTAAAATTTTTACATAGTCTGGCCTTTGTCCTCTGGAGTTTATTTATTTATTTATTTATTTATTTATTTAAGATTTTTCCCACCCTAGAATTAGGACAAGAAAATTTTTCCTTCTTTTCTTCTAGTATTTTTATAGATTTTTTGATATATAATACATCTGGAATGTTTTTTGTGTGTGCATATATGGTTTAACCTTGGGATATTAATTAGAATTACATTAATTGTAATTATAATGGTGAATTTAGAGAGCACTAAAATATTAACACTATTCTTATCTAGCATCTTGGCATGTGTTTTTATTAAAATTTTCCCTTAGGTTTTTTATGAAACTTCATAATTTTCTTCCAGTTAAATTTCTTTTTAGAAGTTTCCTAGTCATGTTTTTCTCATGCTAAGAAATCATTGAGTTATAGTGTCATGAAATTTATTGTTTATTTAATATTCAAATTTGTTTTATTAAGCATAGCTGTTTATGTTTTTAGTCCAGCATCTCATCTACACTTTTCAATAAAGCATCCACATACGCTTTCCTGGGAATACTATACTATGTTTCAGTGTAAAGCTCACCTTGTGATGAGATTGATTGAAAATAGGATCAGTATGGAATTCATGCTACAGGTAAGTATTAAACTTAGGGACTTAACAGTTGTAAAGAAAGACACGCTCTATATGTGTATAATCTGAATGCTGTTTGGTAGGAGTCAGAGCATCTGAATTTATAGCAGGAATTCTGTTACTAATTACCTGTTTGCTCACTAAGTAACTTGTGCTTTTTTCTCCTTAGATGTAGAATGAGTATCATTACTTCACTCATGTAATGCTGGATTGTCATGGATATAAAATTAGAATGTGAGGATGAAACTAAAACTTATTTATACATATGATTTTGTGTTCATTAATTGAAATATTGAGGATGGGTGCCACTTAGACTCTTTTTAATAGAAAACAAACCTACCTAAAAGATGTTTATTTTTGCTACTATTGAATTCTGCCATATATTTTAACAAGTTTTGGTGTAAGTAGTTAAGATTTAGTAGTTGAGGTAGTAGAATAAATGTGTTATAAATGTTTGACTATTTTTTTTCCCATTGACAATATTCTTACAGGTGAATGAAAAATAACTTTTTAGTAATTTTTTTAAGCATTTTATGATTGCCTTAAAATTAAATTTCTTTACTCTTTCTTTTACCTTACCTTTAGAGACGAGAAATTTTAAATGAGAGACAGTCCATAAAGAAACTTTGTAAAGTTGTGTAAATCTTAATGAGTGTTCTCAACTTGCTAAATAAAGTTTAGTTTCTTTGTAAAGCTCATGGTACAATAAATTATAGGCATTATATATTACTATTATTATAATCCTTAAAAATACAGTTCATTGTTTTTGTCTAAGACATATTAAAGTTGAATTATGTTTTGAGGAGGAATAGTTTTATAGTCTGGCTGCTTAAATCTTTACATGCTTTTAATGGTAATAATAGTCTTTAGTTCTACCTATATAGTTAGATGTGAAATTATTGAAATTATTATCTTTGTAATTAACTGTAGTAAAGTCATAATGTAAAATGGGTTAATACAGAATTGAAAACAATGTATTTTATGTTGTGTAAACTTATTTAGTAAGACATTTTCATCCTTACAGGTTTTTAATAAACTGTTAAGTTTGGCTAGTACTGCTTCATCACAGAAGTTCCAGTCACATATGTGGAGTCAGATGTTGGTTTCCACATCTGGGTTTTTGAAATCCATCTCAAATGTCTCTGGCAAAGACATCCAGCCTTTAATAAAGCAGTGGGTGTATCCTTTTCAGTAGCAGTTCAACAAGGAGGGAAAGGGAATAAGATTATATGTGTCAGGGGAAGGAGGAAGAAGAAAGAGTTGGGAGACCAAAGTAGAACTATTTAAATTTCTAAATAGTAGTAGAAATAACCATGAGGTGTAATAAATCGTTTCTGCTAAGGTGCCTGTTAATCACTGAGATAGAGACACACATACATATGTACACACAGACTTATGCTTGTAAAATTTGGTGTATTTTGAATTGCTTTTTAGTATGTGACTATAGCAGTAGGCTTGATGGTAGGAGAGGTAAATAGTCCACCAGACAGGCCTGCAGGATTACTTTTAAGATGCAGTGGTATGGTAGCTTTTAGATGTGGTTAGAGCTTGGCACAACTTAAGTGGTATCTGGGAACTTTTCAATTTTTACATTTTTCATATCAAAGCACTATTATATTAATAACCCAGTAGAGTGGTTTTGCCTCTTAAAAAACATGAATCTGTTAATGTCTCAGAAATTTTGTTTAAATCTGGGGAAACATTTTTCACAAAAATTTTGAATACTTTGCCACCTGGTTTACCCTGAAGTGTGTTCTCAAGCCTTGAGCTGGTGAAAATGAGTTTGAAAGTTATTACCTACTATAACGAGTCATTTATTTTGTTTAGCACATATTCATTTCAGTATGCAAAAATTCCTTTACAATTCTTCAGAGATCAGAGTGGAGTGGTAAAGTTTTATGGGAGTTTTGCATTTAACAGAAAACGAAATGTCTTGGAATTGGAAATAAAACAAGATTATACATCCCCTGGAACTCAGAAATACGTGGTAAGATTTTTTCTAGATTGGCCTTTTGTATTGCTTTCTTCCCAGTTCAATATAGGAAGGGCTTATGGGTGGAGAGCTGGTTAGAAGTTTCATAATGAGGTTTTGTTTTTGCAAAGGTCAAAATTGAGAAAACATCAAGTGTCAATGATGGGTCAATGAAGAGGTCATGACGGAGATTTCAGAGCACACAGATTATCGCAGTTCTTCTTTCCTTTGGTACCAGCTACTTCTCTGTGTCTCTAGATATATATCTTGTATAGTAGTATTTTATATCTTGAAGTACATACCTATACACCTAAGAATACATTTATGGTATTTTTCTAGCATTGTTTTTGAACACGGTTTCTTTTTAAAGGGACCACTTAAAGTAACAGTGCAGGAGTTAGATGGATCCTTCAATCATACATTGCAAATTGAAGAAAACAGCCTTAAACATGATATTCCCTGTCATTCCAAAAGCAGAAGGTAGGCATTGAATCATAACTTTAAACTGAAATTGATAATTAAATTGTAAGTCTTACAGATTAAAATGCCAAAATAGAAATCCTAATATATACCTAAGTTTTCAAGTAAAAAACATGTTATCTGGTATCTTTTTTTCTTTCATTCTACTTTAAGTTGATGTTACTAAACAGTCTTTATTTGCTTTCTGTTCTTGACAGCATTTTTTATTTTTTGAATTAATTTAAAAATTTAGGTTTAAGAATCTTTATTTTGTTAGGGTCAGGGGGAGGTGGAATAGAAATTTAATTTTTTGGAACCAGGAACAATATAAGGCAAATTACTTATGTTTGTCTGTATTAGTTTCATTGGATTAATATCTATAGTAAATATTGGGGCAGTGATCATTGAATAAAAAGGAAGGAGCTGAATACATATGTCATGAAAAGCCCCTGCATTTTCTTTAGTGTGTCTTTCTCCCTTTTGTCTGTATTATCATGCCCTTACAGAACATTCCTTTATTTTTATTTTTAAGTAATCTGTATACCCAATATGGGGCTCGAACTCACGACCCCAAGATCAAGAGTTGCATGCCCTTCTGACTGAGCCAGCCGGACGCCTCTTAAGAAACATTCTTGATGTTTTTCAAAAGGCACATTATCATTTTCCTTAAAAAATGTTTAGCCAAAAAAAAAAAATATTCAGCCATTCATCTTCTGTGTAATATATTTTTTCTTTACCACTGTTGTTTAACTCAGCCATTAGCATGCATTCTGAATAGTGAGAGATGGGCACATTTTTGTGCTTTGCTGGAGGATTGTATAGTAATATAAAAAACTTCAGAAATAGAAATTACACACTCATAACTACCTTGAGGTCCTGTCAGACAGATGAGGATGTCAGTTGATTTTGATGGCCTTCAGAAACTTGATTCGGAAATCTCCCTGAAGCCATTTTTTCTCTTCAAAAATTCTTAGTTCAGACTTAAGTTTCCCTTTTCCTTTTGTTCTGTCTGCCTTAGAAATTGAGAACATCTAATCGCTACCCTTTCCATAACATTTCCTCAAGTTTCCTATGTTTTAGTTTTCTTAAAGGATTTCTTTGTTGATAGATTGATCTTCTCTATATAAAATTGCAGCTACCAGTTCTTGGAAGTACATACATGTTTTAACCTGACATTTAGTTACGTATTTTTGCTTTTTGTTAAACTTTGATCAGGAAGACATTTCAGTATCATGTACTTCATTCCCTTCAGCTTCAAAATAGATTGTGTTTAAATTCCATTACACTCATTATCCCTTCTTCTTCCTTAAACTGTCTTAGAATGTTGCCTGAAATTTTTATTTTAAACTTCAGCTGTTCTTTATCTCCTTTCAGAATTGGAAATGTCACAGCTTGTAAACTTAACTTTTCCCTAAATGTAGGAATAAGAAGAAAAAAATTCCATTGATGAATGGAGAAGAAGTTGACATGGACCTTTCTGCAATGGAGTAAGTTAGTTATTTGAGTTTAAGGATATGGTATTTGATGCCTTCTCATCTGTCTTGTTATGCACATCTAAAAGTAGGTAAATATGTTGAAATTGCTGCTTTTAAAACTTTTGAAAGTCCATAGAAATGCAGTGTTTCTCAAACTATAATGTGCATGTCAGTCACTTACAGATCTTAAAATGCAGTTTCTAATCTAGTACTTCACCAGTGGGTCCTGATAGTCTGTATTTCTAGGGAGTGGTCAGGTGATACAGACTCTTTTTGTCTTTGGACAAGACTTCAGGGCACTTTTCAGTCTCCCTGTGTTTTCCAAATACAATTTAAATGCCACTGTTCTGAATTTTATGTGGTAATATTCACTGATTGGCAGTGTTTCATTTTTAAATATAATATAGCTCAAACTTCATTTTGCTCATCCATATTGCGTCTGTGTATTTTTTTTATAAAACATCTATAATTATTTACTAACTTGGTTGCCAAATATTACTGCTGTTTACATACCATGTATATACTTTTTCCATATCAAATGTCTTGCCTGTAATAACCACCCACTAGTATTTGGTGAATTAAAGTAGTATTTCAGGTAGTGTTCTTTTGATGGAAATGTTGACATAGACTAGATATTTTAAACTGTGCTTGTTACTTTGAGATGTATAGGAGGATAAATTCATGATATGCCTCTGAACTATGATTTCAGAACTTGCTCTTTGAAAAGGATCATGAATCTAACATTTAAAAAAACAGTATTAAAAATGAGTTAAATACATTAATTTAGTAAAATAGATAAATTCCATTTTTTAGATTGATTCCAAGAAAGGATGGCATTTATAGCCATAGTCAATTTGGCTATAGGCCATGAAATGAAGAAATTTGATCTCTTTTTTTCACATCGCATAATCACAGATCAAAATCCCCAAATTAATATTTTCAGATTGAATTTCTTTGTGATAACTATCTTCTTATCCTTGGGGATCTTTCAAGCAAGATTGATAAAGATTAGCTAATATGAGAAAGTTGAAATACATTAAATGTAATGAGAATGTTGTCAGTGTGATTAAGAGAATTTTTTTTTTAATTTTTATTTATTTATGATAGTCACAGAGAGAGAGAGAGACAGAGACATAGGCAGAGGAGAAGCAGGCTCCATGCACGGGGAGCCTGACGTGGGATTCAATCCCGGGTCTCCAGGATCGTGCCCTGGGCCAAAGGCAGGTGCCAAACCGCTGCACCACCCAGGGATCCCTGTCAGTGTGATTAAAAAAAATGAATATAGTAAAAGTTGAGGCAGTCTTGAATATTACATAGAGAAGAGAATCTGTTTAATAAATGCTTTGTTTTTATTTTATAAATATATAAAGTTGAAACAAATTGAAAGAAAATTATATTTTCAGTGCTGATTCCCCTTTGCTGTGGATAAGGATAGACCCAGATATGTCAGTGCTAAGAAAAGTGGAGTTTGAGCAGGCTGACTTCATGTGGCAATACCAGCTCCGCTATGAGAGAGATGTCGTTGCACAGCAGGAGTCTATCCTGGCCTTGGAGAAGTTCCCTACGCCAGCATCTCGCCTTGCACTCACTGACATATTAGAACAAGAGCAGTGTTTCTACCGAGTAAGAATGTCTGCTTGCTTCTGCCTTGCAAAGGTAAGATGATGTCCAGTAGAAAGAAAACATAACTACTGCATATTTTTTTAAAAACCAAAAACTCTGAAAATGAATTAACATTTACTGTAGTCTTTAATATTACTTGATAGCTGGTCCCTTGAAAGCTGTTTTCCAAATGTGTTTAATAAGACTGATTCAAAAGAAACATGTTTTGATCTGAAAATAGTGCATTAAAAGTTCGTAATTGTCAAACTGAAAGTCAAATTTTAAATTCAAAGAGAATTGCTCACCATCTTATTGAACTGCCAACCATACTGTTAAGGCACAGAATGTATTTGGCAAAAGATTCCTTAGTTTAATTGATTTTTTTTTTTTAAGATTTTATTTTTACTTATTCATGAGAGACACAGAGAGAGGCATAGGCAGAGGGAGAAGCAGGCTCCCTGCAGGGAGCCCGATGTGGGACTCGATCCCAGGACCCTGGGATCATGCCCTGAGGCGAAAGCAGACGCTCAACCGCTGAGCCAACCAGATGCCCGTTAAGTCATATTTTATGTTATGTAGTACAGGAAGTTTTATCATCTTAACCATCCTACTGTGGTGATTATCTCATGTTGGTTTCAGCTTAGTAAGTAGTCTTAGTGATAAATAACATGATAGATTTTATAATTTCACATGCTAGAAGAGTTAATTTATTAAGAAAACTAAAAAAAAAAAAAAGGAATAAATATTTTTCTTTAGATGCAAAACATCTGAAGGTAGAACAAATGAAAACCAGAAAAACGCAGACAAAAATTTGGCCAGAAATACTAGGTTCCAGGTATTTAAAAACATCCTGATAATAGGTTCATTCCTATTTAGTGACTCCTCTGCCTTCCTCACTGCTAAAATCCATTTGCCCAACATCTCTCAAGATTGTAATGATTTAGATTTGTTTTGTCTTTAATGGTCACTATTGAGGAGTTGCAGTCCTGCATCCTACTCAGTTATCTGAGGGATAACATGATGTTCTCTGATAGTCAGCTGCTAAGGATATAATTTCATTGCTTCTATAAAGATCTTTGTGATCTTGCATGCTAAATTCTTAGCAGGTCCATGAAATTGTAGACTATTATTTAAAATTAATTGTAAGTTCATTCTTTTCAGACATGATTTCTATATATGCTGAAAGTTTCAATAGCAAGGAATTTTTTTTTTGTAAAACCTTCTTGCAAACTTAAGTGTTAGCACTATACTCGGCTTATTTTTCAATTAGGGTAGATTTAAAATCTGATTTAAAGTCTTATTTAAAATCCATGGTGATGTTTCTATTTGATAATTTAAAATGTTAAAATTATATTTGTCTAAATGGGCAAAGATAAACTTACTCAGAATAGAAGTCTTTTGCAGACATACTTTCTTTAATGATTTTTATTTTTTAATTTTTCATTTATTTATTTGTGAGAAACAGAGAGAGAGAGAGGCAGAGACACAGGCAGAAGAAGAAGCAGGCTCCATGCAGGGAGCCCGTTGTGGGACTCGATCCCGAGTCTTCAGGATCACAGCTTGGCCCTAAGGCAGGTGCTAAACTGCTGAGCCACCTGGCTGCCCCATATTTTTTTTAAAACATAAAAGAATGCTCCAGTTTAGAAATTATAGAAAATAATTATAAGTGTACATAAGAAAAAAAATAAGTGAACATAAGAATTTGGGGGGGTTGGTAAGTTAATTTTTTTGGAAATGGTAATAAAAGGCTAAAATGTCTAAAAATTTCTGAGGATTAAAATTTTTGAAGACAAATCCAATTAAGTGTTAATAAATCTTAAACTATTTATTTAAAAATACATTTGCAGTGGTGATGGAAATTACTTTGTTCTAATTATTTGCAGATTGCAAATTCAATGGTGAGCACGTGGACGGGACCACCAGCCATGAAGTCACTCTTTACTCGAATGTTTTGTTGCAAGACTTGTCCAAACATTGTGAAAACAAACAACTTTATGAGCTTTCAAAGCTATTTTCTACAGAAGGTACAGTTGACTCTCTACTTTCTTAATCATTGTTTTATGCCATTATCTGTATATCTCAGTTTCACTTGGGGACTATTTAAATAACAGGTGTGTTTACTTTTTTATAAAAGCTTTACCTTTGTTCTTTTTTTTGTTGTTTGTTTCTTCAAAATGTTCCCCAAATTTTAATTGTCCATAGAGTTTATGAGCTGTGTGTAAGTAGCTCTCTATCAGCATTTATACTAACGTAGTAGAAATGTGTAATTTGACTTTTTGGTTGGTTATGTGGTGAATGGAGGTATGGATGAGGCCTTCTGATGGCAGTCCTTCTGGAATGTGGCCAGCCCTTCTGAGATAATGTATAGTACCCATCTCTGGTTTCAGTGCCAGCTCTGCTCTCACTAGGAGTTTGCATGAGGACAGGTTTCTTAACTGTGTAAGCCTCAGTTTACTCCATTGTAAAATTTATCTTTTTACAAATAGATCAAGTATGTAAAGTGTTTTATATTGTTTATCAAATAGTAAACTTTTTATAAATGATAATATACAAAGTCACAGTGGTGTGATGGTGTCATGTTTTAGGTGGGATGTGGAATGGCAAGATTGTCAGCATTTGGACAATTTGCAAATCACTTGTAAAATGTTTTGAGTAATTTGATGATGATGATGATTTGAGTAATTTGATGATGATGATGTTGATGAAGAAGAAGAAGAAGGCAGGGGTGCCTGGGTGGCTCAGGTTGTGATCTCACGGTTGTGTGTTTGAGCCCTGTGTTGGACTCTGTGCTGGGTGTGGAACTGCTTAAGATTATCTCTTCTTCTCCCTCTGCCTTTCCCCTTCTCTCTCTCTCTCTTTCTCTTTATACATATATATATTATATAATATATATATATTTCTCTCTAGAAAAAAAAAACAGAAATAATGAAGGCAGAGGTTGGATTAATAAGTAGATTGAACTAGAAGGAGGAGTGAAGTTGAAGTAGAAAAAACTAACAAAGCCTAGCTGAAGAGTATGAAAAAGACATGTTGAGGATAAAGCTGTGCTAAGAAAGGTATATTTGGTGTTTGTTTTATATAAAGGAAATAGAAACTTGTGGCATGTTTGTCACAAAGGAATCTGTGGAAAGGGAGAAGTGAAATATTCAAGTAGGAGCAAGTAAATATGAAAAAGAAGGCAGAGTAAATTCTGAAGATACTAGTAGTGGGTGGGACACAGTTGGGAGGTTTATTTTAGAAAAGTTAAGAACATTTCTTTTTCTGAGGCAGGTAGAAAGCAGATTGGAAGTGAGTGAAATGATAGATGTTGAGGGGGGTGTTAGTTTAAGTGAGATTTATATATGGTAGAGGGAGAAGTAAAAGATTACCCAGCAACATTGAGACACCTGCTGAGAGAAGTCATGATATAATTATAGTGAATTTCATCAGCAGAACAGATTCAGGGTGAGCCAGGTTTGGGGAAAGCCAGTACTGGTATAATCAAAGAAGTCTATCTGGCATCCTGTTGTTATTTTAAAGAACTGAACATTCTCTAGTACTTAACTTGTTGCTCAGCTCTGTTGTTATTTCACTAATTCCTGGTATGGAAACAATTTAATTTCTGTGTCTACCCAGTATTCCCCTTCATTGTGCCATTGTGTGTCTGATACCTTAGATTAGTGTTTTGTATTGGAAGTTGTGTCCCATTGATGAGGATGAGATCAATTTGGGTTTGGGGTTCATTTTTTAAATAAAACAGTAGGCAGTATCAGAATGCAACACATATTATAAGGGTAGATATAAAGTGTTTTGGTTTTTTTTAGTTTACGTGACATTTGTGTGTGTGTGTGTGTAGATTGGAATGTAAATATATCTTACTGTTGGTTGCAATCAAAAAAGTTGGAGAATACTTTTAGACTAGTTACTTTCACATAATACTTTCAGTGCCAGAAAAGGGAGAAAAGATGACTCTAAATCAAACTTGAATCCCAAAAGAGCAAAACTGGCACAGGACAGGTATTTCTATGGAAGAGAGCATTTTCCCTCAGTTGTTCTTACAGCATTAGCACTGTCTCTTGTTACACTATTATAACACTGACTGTCCATTGCTTCAGCTCTTTCATGCAAGCAGAACAGCCACACTCCTTCAGTTGAGAAGATACTGTTATTTTGAATCAGATGAGAGCATAGTCCCCAGCTCTCTAAGGACTGTGATGACTTCATCTGTGGTTCTGTCTTGAATTTAAAGAACTTGGTTTTACTGGTAAAGGTTACCACTGTGTGAGTCAGGTTTCCACTTCTTTAGGAAAGTTGCCTATGAAAATTTGGAAAGGGGAAAGCTGGCTGGATTTTAGATCTTTGCCATTTTTCTTTAGGTTGTGAGTGAGGTGGAACTGTAGAATCAGTGTCTCTGGGACTGATTGGATGCTTTCCTGTCTGTCACATGCTTCCAGCCACTGTATCATTCAATCCTAAAAATGGTTGTGAGGGAGGCTCTTGAGTGAGCAGCTAGCTAAAATAGTCCAGATATCTTGGTAGTAGAGTGGGAGTTGAGGAGTGGTCTGTCTAGTGTTAAAACCCATTCATTTTCCACTGTAAAACAAAACTGGATTAATTTAATTTATATTACATATACTTCACCAAATGAAGACAAAGGCACACAGACTACAGAGTAGTCTCCCCTTGGTTTGCCACTCTGCTTTTCTGTTAAAATGTTTTACGTGTTCCCAGTGAGAGGGAGTGATAGAGGGTTTAGGCTCCATCCAAATAACTAAGTCAGTCCCAGAATATCCTTTTTTTGCATATACTAAGATGAATTATAATAATGACAGAGGTTATTATATGCTTAAAAAAAGTTTTTTGGTGGTTGTTGTTTTGTAGACTATGCCGGTTGCAATGGCTTTATTGAGAGATGTTCACAATCTTTGTCCCAAAGAAGTCTTAACATTCATTTTAGACTTAATCAAGTACAATGACAACAGAAAAAATAAGGTAAGACACTTTACTGAATATTATAAAACTACCTAGTGATATTTTGTTTTTAAAGAAAGATTTAGACTGGGAAATGATTGTTGAGTCCATGGTCCTTGAAGTTTCTAAAGATAGAAATACACAAACATGATTTATTATAATAACCAGTGGTTTGTTTTTTTAAGGTTAGATGTTTTTGAAATATTCCTCATACCTGTTGTAATGTGGAAGTAGTAGTGCATCAGATTTCGGGGAGCAAATTAAAACTTGTTTTGGTGAAATCCGACAGCCCAATTTTATTTTTATTTCTTTTTTCTTTCATCGTGTTATGCACAGAAATCCATTTCCTCTTGGGATAATTTGTTCATTAATGACTTAACTTTTTTTGTTTTTTACCATAATGTATATTTATGAACTTATTTAGCAAATAGCTGTTGAATGCTATGCCTCAAGAATCATTTCATCTTGTTATTCTGATAATTAGCAAATGTTTTTGAGAATATGTGCTATGCTAGGCAATATACTGTGTTATATAGAAAGAAGAGATGATAGATGGCATCCAGAATTTTACTTACTCATTAAAGATCCATTGGACAACTGTCTCTGTTTGATTCTGGACCCTCATAGATTCAACCTCATGGGGAAATCAGACAAGTAAACAATTAACAGTCACGCATAATGCAAATATGTATATATAGTTTTCTAGGGGGAATTCAGAGAAAGTAGTGCCTTCCAAGGGTATAGAGGGAAAGACTCTGGGAAATTTTGTATACAAGTGGTGGCTTTCAAACTGAGTCATAAAGATGAATAGGATTTTCCCAGAGTATGAATAGGGACAGTCTTGGAAGGTTATTCCAGGAAGAAGGAACAGGACATATAAAGACACATGTATCTGGTATGGAGGATAATTCAAATTCCTGAACAGTTAATGAAACATCACAACAGTAAAGAAAAAGTGGCAAATATGTTAAAAAATGGTGATTAATGAAAATCAGGAAGACCAGTTTTTCCTCAAGTTAGTAGAATAACATTCAAAATGATTTAAGTTAAAAAGAGTCCTTAAAAATTAGTGCTTTAGAAGTATGTTATAGTTGATAGACTTTTTCTTTCCATTTTTAAAAAAAGATTTTATTTATTCATTCATGAGAGACAGAGAGAGAGGCAGAGACACAGGCAGAGGGGGAAGCAGGCTCCATGCAGGGAGCCCGATGTGGGACTCCGTCCCAGGACTCCAGGACCACATCCTGGGCCGAAGGCAGGCACTAAACCGCTGAGCCAGCCACCAGAGGAACCCCCATTCCATTTTTGAATACTGTTAAAAAAATTATATAAGGTTCTTTCCTTCCTGATTTACTGTTTTTTTTTAACCTCCATTTCTAATATTCCTTTCTTCTACACATGAATTTCTTTTATTTGTAGATATAAGGTTAGGATTTCAGATGACATCAAATCAAAATTATATTCAAATAAAATGGGAAAGTATGTAATTGTATGTGTCAGTTTTCCTGTTTTAGGGGGGTGCTTATATAATCTAAATCATGGTAGCCCCAATACAGTATTTTTACTTTGCAGAGTGATTTCATATACCTTAATTTCTTTAAACCTTACTTATTCTGTAGTTGACAAATGACAGCAAAACACAGAGGTTGAGAATTTAGAATTACGTAGGAAGTGTAATCTGGGAATTGTTCTGTGAGCTGTTGCCACCCATCTATGTGGTGATCTGTTTAGTATACCATGCTACTTTATATGATGCTATCATACATGCCATCATTTATGGTTCTGTAAGGTGCATACTGACGGATTATTAAATTTTACACTTCATTATTTTTGCAGAACATGAAACTCAGTTTCTTGTAATTTTGATGTCTAATCAGATGTTATAGTTAGTAACTATAGGTGATATATTAATCTTAGAAGATATTAAGGATAGAATAAATACAAATAATAACAATAGTAATGATAAAATAGCTATTTTTTTGTGTGTATTCCATGGCTTATACTAAAACATGCATAATCTAACATGATTCTCCTCAGACGTCTAAGATAAAGCCTATTATCTCAGTTTACATTTGAGGAACTAGACGCTAATAAAGATTTACCTCAGGTAGTAGGACACATGTGTGGCGGAGCCAGTCATTAAACCCAGATCTGTTTGATATCAAAGACTTATGCTCCTAAAAATTGTGATTGGGAGAAAAAAAAACTTTGTCGTCATTTAAAGATTTATCGATTAACGTATTAAAACTTGCACAACAGATCTGTTTAGATGGAGGCCTAAGAATATTGCATTGATTGGTTTATCTGTTTGCTTTTAAAGTACCTCACTTTTAATCACAAATTATTTACTTCTGAAGGCTTTGGTTAAGGGATTTTTTTTTTAAAGTCTCACTAAGATATAAAATTTTTTAAAGTACATGAGAAGAAATGACAGTTTTTATACAAGTAAAATTAGAAATACAAAACAGGAGGGATGCCTGAGTGGCTCACCAGTTGAGTGCCTTCAGCTCAGGGCATGATCCTGGTCTGGGGATAGAATCCCTTGTTGGGCTCCCTGCGGGGAGCCTGCCTCTCCCTCTGCCTGTGTCTCTGCCTCTCTGTCTCTCTTGAGTAAATAAACTCTTTAAAAAAAAAGAGAGAAAGAAAGAAATACAAAACATTAAATGACAAAAAGAAGTTGGAAGTCCGTGGGAAATATTTTTAAAAATTTTTTAACATCTCCTTAATTGGGCAAAGCATGGAATTCAATACTCTTTCTTAATTGAAAACAAGACTTAGAACCTGGAGGGATGCCTGGGTGGCTCAGTGGTTGAGCATCTGCCTTCAGCTCAGGGCATGATCCTGGAGTCCTGGGATCAAGTCCTGCATTGGGCTCCTTGTGGATAGCCTGCTTCTCCCTCTACCTGTGTCTCTGCCTCTTTCTCTCTCTCTCTCTCTCTCTCTCTCTCTCTCTGTCTCTCATAAATAAATAAATAAAATTAAAAAAAAAAAAGACTTAGAATCTGGAAAAGAAAAGGTTGATAAATGCCACACCGTTAAAACAAAATTCGCCTGACAAAAAAATGCATGATTGTTTTCTCTGGCTTCAGAGGGAAGGATTAGGATTTAGAGACTGAAGTTTTAGTGATCAGTTTTGCAATCATGAGAATGATCTAAAAACAAAACTTGGTCCATTGTGAACATGTAGAGTATTTTTTCTTTGATTTTGTTTATTGTTTGTCTTACTTGTTTCTGCCCCGTGTCTGAACATAGGTGTGTGTAGGTGTTCTGTCACTATAACCAGCAGTGTGAGGCTCTGCCTCCATCTTGGAAGTCACAGGCGGCAGGTGCTCCTCCTCCTCCGTCCCCTGACAGTTTGTGTTGCAACACCATATTCCCAACACTGATGATAAAATTAATTGCTCTATGTTTGAACATTCCCAGTCTAGAGGGTCTGATCTGATGAGTTTAAATCAAGCCACCCTACATTGCCATTCAATAAATTGCTTCTCTGGGAATTGACTGGAATATGGATTTAGAAATTTTTTTGGATCGTCGTCTCTTCTGTTTTCTCTGCTTCTCTTGGTAGATCTCTTGTTTATACAAGAGAGTATGTCTTCTACACCAGCCCTCCAGTTTCCTTTTCAGTCTACTTTATATCTTCCTTTTTGCTTAGAATTTCGGGAACTTTTTTCAATTTTGTATTCCAATTTAATTTTGATTTTGAATCTCTGCATATTTTTTCTTTTAAAATATGTTACAATTGGAAGGCATACCAATGGTTATTTCTCAGACAATGTTCATGATGGTTTTGGATTTTCTTCCTCCTTACCGGTTTTCTTTTCCTTGCAAACTCTTTCCGCCAGGTTGCTTTTTTTTTCCTTTTGTTTGTTCTGGTCTTCCTTTGTTAGGTTGATGCTTTCCTCAAATAATCTGGTGAGCCTTGGTTATAAATTTATATGTGAGAGTATAGCTAAATAGCTGATTCCAAGCTCTGCATTACCAGCTGGGTTTGTGGACTGTGGTCCTCCCCGGAGAGGAATCTCTATAGGTTACTCCTACATGCAATAAACACTAGTTGGTAAACTAATGTATTACTAATTAGTGAGTCTCTTTCTTTTTCCCGATGTATAACTACACAAAAAACATAGTTAAATAATTACTGGATAACTTGCTGATGTTTTCAGATAAATTATGTTTTAAAGTTATAAATATTAATTTTTAATAGAAGTGTGAATTTTGTTTTCCTGTGATTATTTGTGGCTTAGTTTTCAGATAACTATTACCGTGCTGAAATGATTGATGCCCTTGCCAACTCTGTTACGCCTGCAGTCAGTGTGAACAATGAAGTTCGAACTTTGGACAACTTAAATCCAGATGTGCGACTCATTCTTGAAGAAATCACCAGGTTTTTGAATATGGAAAAACTTCTTCCAAGTTATAGACATACCATCACTGTCAGGTATGATGAAAGTTAACTTGCTTTTATAGGAGAAATTTATTCTCATTATAGGAAATACAGTAAAGTAAAAGGAGAAAATTTAAATCCTGTATGACTGTACCATCACAGATATAGTATTACTATTTTGGAGAATGGCCTTCTAAATTTTTTCCTCTTGTAACAAAATACATCTTTAATTACGTGATATATATTGTGTGTATAATTCTACTTATGTCATAAATACTTATGTCATCAGAATTTCTTCATAAGCATTATTTCTGATATCTGCAAAATGTTTTCATCCCATTGGACATGGTATAAACATCTCTATTGTTAAGCTTCTTACTTAGATGACTTCCATCAACTTGTTTGTATGTGACTATCAAAAACTTCTATTTCTTCAGAAGTTTGCCAAAAAAAAGTTGATCCATTGGTTCACATATCATCAGTTCTCACTTTCCATGTGTATTATTGACTAAATTATTACAAAAAATTAATATTACAAAATTAAAAGATGGATTCAAATCACTTCAGTTTTTCAGTTTACCGTTACAGATTGATTCCTAATGATTGGGAAACAAGTTTGATTTAAATACTTATACAGAAATGTTAACTGTAAATACTATTTTTCCTAGTTGTTTGAGAGCCATACGAGTGCTTCAAAAGAATGGACATGTGCCAAGTGATCCAGCTCTTTTTAAATCTTATGCAGAGTATGGCCATTTTGTGGACATTAGGATAGCCGCTTTGGAAGCAGTTGTTGATTATACTAAAGGTAATGCTTTACAAGTGTATGTATGCTCATATCATTTTAGAAAGAAATGTTTACTAAATAGTTAAAGCCATTTTAGTTATTGGGATTTTGTATTACAAACAACATAGGTATTTAAATTTTAAATTCTTTTGAAGGAAATTTTGGTAAATTTGGAACTTGTATAAGAATAAGTAAGAGAAAAGAATAAAACTAGAGGTAGGTATCTTTGGTCTGTCTAGGAAGTCAGTGTTACTCTATAGCTTTAATTATGTGTTATTAAAAACTTGAAGATTTTGGGAAATTCCTAACTGACAACTCAAGAAAACATCTTGCACCTTTCAAAAAGTTGTATCTGTGGAGGCGCCTGTGTGGCTGAGTGGTTGAACATCTGCCTTTGGCTCAGGTTGTGATCCCTGCGGTTCCAGGATCGAGTCCCACATCCAGCTCCCTGCAGGGAGCCTACTTCTCCCTCTGCCTACATCCCTACCTCTCTCTGTGTCTCTCATGAATAAATAAATAAAATCTTTTTAAAAAATTGTATCTGAAAGTAGAGCAAGATATATACACAGGAGCCTCAGTATGAGGATTAGAAAAGGCTTCGTGAACTTGAAAAAAATAAGGCTAGAAAATGACTAAGCGAATATTACATATTCAAAGCATTAAAAAAAAGGACAGAAAAATAAAGAGATGAAAATATTAAAAATCCGTCAAGAAGAATAGAGCAGGTAGAAGAATATAAGCAATAATCTAAGAAATAATAGAATACTTTGAAAGAATAAAATGAAACTTCTTATAGTCTGATAAAATTTAAAATTTTAAGTTTGAGGGAAAAAAAGATGTAAGTTCCTAGGAATATCAGAACCCATTTATTGTACAAGATAAAAGAATAATGTGGCCTGTGACTTCCTCAGAATATGAAGAGTTCAAAAACCAATGAACAAATGGTTGACTTAATGTTTAGGGAAAACTGTGATCCTACCTTTCCTTTTTTACCAGGTTGTCACTCATGTAGCCTTAAAGATTTAGAAATACATCTGCTGTGTAACATTCTTTAAAACAAAATTCCTAAAGAATTTTCAGCTGACCTAGAAGTGAATCAAATAACTCAAGACTGATGAAAGTTGGGCAGCCCCAGTGGCGCAGTGGTTTAGCGCTGCCTGCAGCTCAGGGTGTGATCCTGGAGACCCTGGATCGAGTCCTGCATCAGGCTCTCTGCATGGAGCCTGTTTCTCCCTCTGCCTGTGTCTCTGACTCTCATTCTCTCTGTGTGTCTCTATGAATAAATAAATAAATAATCTTTAAAAAAAAAAAAACTGATGAAAGTGGGGCACCTGGGTGGCTCAGTTGGCTAAGCATCTGCCTTCAGTTCCGGTGGTGATCCCAGGGTCCTGGGATTGAGTCCTGCATCAGGCTCCCTGCTCAGTGGGGAGTCTGCTCCTCCCTCTGTCTCCCCGCCCCCCACTTGTGCATTCTCTCTGTCTCTCTCTCACTTGCTCTCTCTCAGAATAAATAAAATCTTAAAAAAAAAAAAAGATTGATGAAAGTGTGAAATGAATGACCTAATATGAGTGATTGTGCCTGTCAAAAAAAGGAACTAAGCTTAAATATTTATTAATAACATGGTTATACAGAAATAATTATTTTGTTTTTCAAGATGTATTTATTTATTTAACAAAGAGCACACGTGTGTGTGGAGGTGGGGGGAGGGGCCGAGGAAGAGAGCATCTTGAGCAGACTCCACACTGATCACAAACCCTGTGCAAGCTTAGTCTCATGACCCTGAGACCATGACCTGAGCCAAAACCAAGAGTCAGAGACATAACTGCGCCACCCAAGTGCCCATCAAAAATACTTCTTTAAAAAATAATATTCAGGTGTGCCTCGGTGGCTCAGTCAATTGAGCATCTGACTTTAGCTCAGGTCATAATCTCAGGATCCTGGGATCTAGGCCCAAGTTGGGCTTCTGCCTTAGTAGGGAGTCTGCTTCCATTCTCCTTCTCCCTTTATGTCTCCTGCTCATGCTCTGTCTGCCTCTCAAATAAACAAAATATTTTTAAAAATAAAAAAATAATATGCAAATATAAAAAATATATAATTTAATTTACATCTAGAATTCTAGACTATCATGCTAAAATAGGGGAGGAGTAAAGAAGTTAGAGTATGTTATAGTTCTCATGACTGGAAAGAGGAAGAAGTAAGGGAAGTTCTATAATTATGGTTAAGTTTTACATATTAGAAGAAATCTCATCTTTATAATTTTTTGGTAAGTTTCAATAGAAGTATGTATATTATGTATAGTTAAGAAATTATAAAAGGATAAGAAAATAGTGTGTATATTATATATGTTGGACTAAGTTCAGAAAGGACTATTATTTACTGTTTTTTATTCAGGGTAACAATTCTTTTAAGAAATGGCAGTGAAAAGTGATTTCTTCTTTTTTTAAAAAAAATTTTAAATTTTTTTAAATTTTTTATTTTATTTTTTTTAGATTTTATTTATTCATGAGAGACACAGAGAGATAGAGAGAAAGAGAGAGAGAGGCAGAGACACAGGCAGAAGGAGAAGCAGGCTCCATGCAGGGAGCCCGATGCGGGACTTGATCCCGGTTCTCCAGGATCAGGCCCTGGGACAAAGGCGGCGCTAAACCGTTGAGCCACCCGGGCTGCCCTTCTTTTTTTTTTTAAATGAACTTTTTGTCAAGTAAAAAATGTAACTCCATCAAGTCTCCTGTTTTGTTTTGACATTTTACCAACTTGTGAAATCTAGAAGTCCTAAGATTTACCAAATATGGCCAGTATTGCCAACCTTCTTTTTCAAGATACATGAATGATGTTTACTGTCACATAAATATGAAGATTTCATGAATTAGTATTATCTGTAATGAAATAAAATGCTAACATTATGATTTCCCAAAGAATTTAAGTGTAATTGAGAGGTGCTTCAGTATTATCCACGAATCTAATCTAGGTCATTAGAAAGTGAAACAATGGAAGATGTCAGAAATAAAATTCTGATAATACAGTTATTCAAACCCTAAAAGCATAAACTTGTCAAAATGTGAATAGAAATTGCTAATGAGTGATTTTATTCAGGTCATTTATATTTATAGCACTATGCTATGTTGTGTTGAAAAGTTAAGGCTGCTCTTTACTCTTACCACTTGGGTAAAAACAGTATTTTGTATATATACTATGATATATTTGAAATACCAGTAAGTATCATATTTTCCTATTAATTTCATTTAAGCATCTAGAAACACAATTTTATTTAAATATTTTGTCCATTTATAGTTACTCATCTCTAGGGTTCTTAATAAGTTATAATTTGCTTTATGTTGTATTTGTCATGAATTTGAGCATTAGTGAAAAATAGGGACTTGGTCCTGTTTTATGTTTTGGCTATATGTATATCATAATACCAATGAAGTTTACAGAGTGGCCTATTCCATAAAAAATGTAAGAAGTTGCCTACAGCCTTCAACTATGACTTGAAATACAGCTAAGGCATAGCCCTAAATATTAAGTGTAAATCCCTCCTTGTCACTTGTTATTTCATTTGTTATAATTAAAAATAAATATATTTATTTATTTGCAGTGGACAGGAGTTACGAAGAACTGCAATGGCTACTTAATATGATTCAGAATGACCCTGTACCCTACGTAAGGTTAGTTTCTGTGCTATAATCTTTTGATTTTTCAAGTCCTAAAGTAAACTGAATAACTTTGGAAGATTATACATGGAACAAGTATTTATTTTTAAAAATAGAGAAATACTGGGACGCCTGGGTGGCTCAGCGGTTGAGCATCTGTCTGCCTTTGGCCCAGGGCATGATTCTGGAGTCCTAGAATTGAGTCCCACATTGGGCTCCCTGCATGGAGCCTGCTTCTCCCTCTGCCTGTGTCTCTGCCTCTCTCTCTATCTCTCATGAATAAATAAATTTTTTTTAAAAAATGGAGAAATATGTTATACGTTTATTAATATTCTTTTTTAGGTGCTTTTTAAAAAATTGAGTATGCCTGGGCACCTGGGTGGCTCATTCAATTAACTGTCTGCCTTTGTTTGGCTCAGGTCGTTATCTTGGCCCTGGGATCAAGCCCCATGTTGGGCTTTCCACTCAGCAGGGAGTCTACTTCTCTGTCCTCTCTCCCTGCTCTCCTCCCCAGCTCCCTTCCTGCATGCTCTCTCTCTCTAATAAAGTCTTTTAAAAAATTAGGTATGCCTTTGGAAAGACATTTTTAAAAATACATTGTTAATAAGCAACATTTATTTCCTGCAATTTTATATACGACTTCCATTGTAATTTAAAGAAAAGCTTATATAACAGTTGGCAGTGTACATGGACATCCCTTATATATCCATATTTACATCTATATTGATTCAGTCTATTTTAAAAGTCATTGAGAGAAGGGTCTTGGTGTATCCTATTTGTTGCCTTCTATCTCCTATAAAATCTCAATTATTAATGCATAGAGTTAGGATTTAAAAAGTATAATGGAAGATTTAAATGTAGAAAATAAGGGTGATAAATAGAAGAAAATCCCAGTCCTGACTCAGTTTTCATTTTTATATTCTAGTCTTCATTTCCTTCACTTCTGCTGCTTTTTGCAAAGTAGGAGGTTTATAGTGTATTTGAATAGGATTAAATTTTTTACCATTTCTGTCTTTCTTGCTATATATTAGACACTTAAATTTTTGTTCTTTGGTTTAAGGTTATTATAACTTCATAAAATTTAAATTGTGGGTAACTTAGATATTAGTCATCCAACAAAAACAAGAACATTTGTTGTACTCAACTTTACAGTTCTTGTACTCAGCTTTACACATAAGTTGACAGATAGTTGTTTTCTTCTAAAAAGGCATACAGGCAAACTGCCCTTTAACATTATTGAATTGCATTTGGGCATGAGAGTCCACAAAAGAGATTACAGTTCCCTAATAAAGAAAGACATTGTCTTTGACCAGCCGTAGTTTTTCAGGTTGGTTGTAGCAGTGAGTTCTTGGTTAAGTGTCCTTATTTCAGTGTTTTCTGTTTGTCTCTTTCTACCTTAACCCCAACTCTAACCATTTCAGTGTTTTAAATGATGCCTATTATATACATATCTTTATACAAAGTTTTGTTGTGAATATTTGATATGAATCATATTTTAAATAATTTTTCTTCGTGATGTGTACTAAAGATAAGATTGATGTGGACAAAAAGCTCATAATCATCCATTCTGAGGTACATATTCATTTAAAAAAGAATAGGCAGGAAACCAGTTTCATTCTTACCTGACAGAGTTCATGCATTTGGAAGTTTATAAGATCCTACTGATAGCAAATAGGAACAGAAATTATAAATACAGTATGAACAGAGCATATCATGTTTTCATTTATGTTTTCAGTTCATAACATCAGAACTAATATTAAGGCATGTATTTCTGAGATAATGGAACTGTCTTTTGAAGACCGTTTTAGCGGGTTATAATACTATGTAATATTTGAAGTTTCTATATTTCTGAATTATATACTATATAGTCTAAATGATTGTTTTTGAATTTCTGTTGTAGAACTATTAATAACATTCAGATTTCAAGAGGATTGTTATAATCTAAACTGAATGTATTTAAAGATACAGTTCATGATTATATTTGACACTTTTTTAATTGATGTGATTCATTGATCTCATCAGTGGGAAACCTCTTAGTCTGTACTTACCTCATCTGGCCCACAGTTCTATTTACAGTTAGAAAATTCAGCATGTCTTTAAAAATTTTAATGTTAATCATCAGAGGCTAGAAGTGTTACCATGTAACAGTTAGCATGTGTGCATATTTCTTAGTATCTTGGGACATCTGTCCATTCTTCTTTGTTTTTTTATACTCTAAGTAGGAACTCTGTCCTTTTCTCTTTGTTTCCGTCATTACGCTTTCTCTTTTTTTCTTTTCTCTCTTTCTTTTAGGTATAATTTAGGTATAATTGCCATATTATGTTGGTTTTAGGTGTACTACAGAATGATTCAATATTAGTTTGTATGGGGGAAATTGTCAGCACAACAAGTCAATAAGTTCACTTAACAGCCATCACCATACAGAGTTACACTTTTTTCTTGTGATGAGCACTTTTAAGATCTGTTCTCTTAATAACTTTCAAATATGCAACACAATATTACTGTTGTCACCATGTGATGTACATCACATGCCTGTGGGTTTGTGCTCTTTGGCCTGCTTCACCCATTTTGCCCCCGTCCCCTGCGATCACAACCTGTTCTGTTACTTTTTCTCAAGCTCATTAAGTAACCATAATATAGATCTGCCGTATTTACTGTGGATAGAATTCTTAGTCTTAAAGATGGGTAAGCGTTGGTATCTCTCTTAAAATCAGTGGCATTAGTCTCTCCTACCCCAAACACAAGCATTTTATTTTTATGACCCTTGGTTGTTTTTTAAACTCCTAATGATAAAATAGCCTTCAATAAGACCTATTTTTTTTTAAGATTAATTTACTTGTTTGAGAGAGAGAGAGAGAGAGAAAGAGAATCACCAAGTGGATTCTCTGCTGAGTGTGTAGCCTGATACAGGGCTCAGTCTCACAATCCATGAGATCATGTCCTGAGCTGAAATCAAGAGTTGGATGCTCAACTGACTTAGCCACCGGGCCCCCCAATAGGAATTAAATTTTAAAAATATATGTTGATTTTCCTTTTCTGTGTTTATTTTATATATATATATATATATATATATATATATATATATATATATATATGTAAGAGTTACTGGTAGAGTAATTTGGTAGAATTGTATATAGTTCTGAAGAATTTTAGGGTGAAACCTTAAAGTCTGGAGAAAAAAAAACATAAAAAAAAATTACCTATAATTATTCCTTGATTCTTTAGCGCTAAACTTGAACATTGTTTCTGTAGGGATGCTTCCTTGATTCCCTGTACTAGATACTGTCTCTGAAGTCATAATCGTCCATAAAAATCCTACAATTTTTCCTATATTGAAATAAAATGCTTCCTATATATAAGTATTAATTTTATAACTGGAACTATTTGATTATCTTTGTCTCCCCCATGAGAGAATATAAGTTCCAAAAAGACGGACATGTTTCCTTTTGTCACTGTATGTCTAGAACATAGCATGGTGCCTTATATATTCATGGTTCAATACAAGAGAAACAGTGGTTAAATGCAATTTTTTCTTTTTTCATCTAATCATGTAGGGGTTTTTTCCTAGTCATATGTATGTTTAACTTCTTTCATACGTTAAAGAGAAGTGGTTAAAGAGAAGTGATTTTATCTCTGTTGACAACTGTATACAGAAAAAAGTTTTAACGTGTTTATTTTGAAATGTTTGGGGGAGTTCTCAGTCTTTCATGTTGGGTTGATGTTTTAAATATAATAATAGAGTTGTCTACCTTATTTGTTTGCTTTTCTCTCAATAGAAATTTTCAGATTATAGATTAGTTCTTCATTATGATATCTTGAGAATTTAAATAAATGCACTTTAGTTAACCTGTATATTGACCTGACAGATTACTAACACTTTTCATAAAGTTCACTGTTCATTTTACATGTATGATAAGATAGAGAAATGATCTAAAAAAGGAAAAAGGAAAAAAATCTAGGTGCATAGTTTTTCAATAAATAATTATATCTAGGTGTCCTATTTTTAAACTAAAACAAAATTTACGTTTTTTGAAAATTACAGTTTCCTTTCAGTGGGCATGACTTTTTTCTTTTTTTCAAGATTTTATTTAAATTCAAGTTAATATATAGTGTACTATTGGTTTCAGGGGTAGAATTTAGTGATTCATCACAGGGCATGACTTTTTACAATACTCAGAAATTTGGAAAGTGACAAAATCACGTTAAGAAGAAAACTTAAAAATAGTCTATAATTATTTCAACCGGAAACATGTAACATTTTGGATTATTGCTTCCAGGTATTACTATCCATGAATATATTTGTTATATTGATAGGAATAACTATTAATTATATTTTCTTTAGAATGGATAGGATTGTTTTGATGATGACATGGAATTATATTGTGGTTTTAGAGTCAAGCATACATATGATCATATTATATCAGTCCCTCAAGAGATACACATACATTTTGTGCTTTTTCTCATGAGAGATTTTTGAGCATTTTTGGGGTTTGATTTGAGTTTCTTATTGATAGTGGTTGACAGTAGATTGGACTGGGCTACCAAGAAAATTCTCAACTGCTTAGGGAAATACTATGATGTTTTTCCTGCTGTTTATAGCAGCAAACGTATAAATCTATGGTTTTCTCAGGATTTGCTTTAGGTCTGTTCCAGGTGTCTGAAGCATATGCTTATTCTGAATTTTTATGTTTCATCTCTGTAAAACTGTGAGATTCTCATTGTTTTCCCTTAAACTTTATCTCCTCTGAGTATCGCTTTGGGTATTTAGTCATTTATAAGTATTTCTATGTAAAATCCTTTCTTCTGTCATCTAAACTTTAGAGAAAAAATTTGAAGAAATGTTTAATGTGATAATAGTAATACATGTACTGATTATCATTGCTCTTTTAAAGATCATTTCAGAGATATCCTCAGTGCACTCTTTATAGTTCATTGCTACGGCTCCATAGAGTTTCTAATGATCTGGGTAAACTCCATGAAGCTTTATTAATTGGACCCTACTACTTTGGTAATTCGGATAACTGGGAAAGCAGCCAAATAGAAACTTTCCTTAATGCAAGCTAAAAGTATAACAACATTTACGTGGTCTAAAGAATAAACTCATCCATATTCTTAAAGATTATTACTTGTAATATTGATCTATTTTTATAGATAGATTTTTGAGATCTTTAAGGACTAATTGCATTTATTTATAAAGGTACAAAAAATTGATAGGAAATATCCATGAAGTCAGGTATCCTCCTTCATATTACTTATCTGTATATTACATCTATAACTCCATTTCACTTTTTGTTTGCATGGCTCTTCAGTAGTCTTGAAATTTCAAAGAACAAAGGCACAAAAGGTAGTTAAAGTGAGAGTCCACATCTTTCAGTTTCACAGATAAAATTGAAGCCAAAGGAGGTTAAGTATCTTAATCTGCAACCTAGTAGTTCCACTTTCCTCCCAACTCTTTATCAAGTACAAATCCTATGCCATTCCACCAACAGTTAAATATAAAAACTGCCTGGGTTTACCTTTAAGGTTTTGCTAATCTCATTTATAATTACAACCTAAGTTTCTTCTCTATGCAAGCATGCCATTATTCTGTGGTCTTGAATCTCTTAGGCCTGGGCCTGGTTCTTAATCCCTGTACTAAATGTTAGACTACTACCATAATAGCCTCTTTGCTTTTCCTTTTCTTCCTCTATCCTCTTTCTCTGGCATCTCCTACTCAAGCCATTGGACATTTTCTCTTTCAAATTTTGTTTGCTCACATTGCCCTATTTTTAGAAGACTCCGGAAGTGTTCAGATGGCCGGCCTCTCAGAGGAGATAACTCCCAGTAGTGGACTTTAACTGTTACTTTCCATGAGGATACTTTTACTAATTAACTCCTCTAAACTTCAGCTTATTTTGAAGAGACCTCTTTTTAGTCTCCATATTTTAAATGATTCTGCACATTTCCATGCTTCATGAAGATACTATAATAAGGAAGTTTATATTCATTTTATTACCTCAGTATAGACTTCTTGGTTCATATGTAATTTTTTTTTTTACACCATTGTAGGATTTTTATGTTTACTGACCTGTCTTTAAAAATTTTTATAAGGAGGGGCACCTTGGCAGCTTAGTGATTGAGCTTCTGCCTTCGGCTCAGGTCATGGTCCTGGGATCCTAGGATTGAGTCCCGCAGGGAGCCTGCTCTCCCTCTGCCTATGTCTCTGCCTCTCTTTGTGTCTCTCATGAATAAATAAATAAAATCTTTTAAAAAATTTTTTTCCTAAGGAGAATAAAACGTTCATTATAGAAATGGAATGGCAAAGGGTGGTTAGGAATACATAGAATCAGGTTTTTAAAGACCTCATTATACATTAAGGTAATTTTAGAAAGAACAAACCCACTAGAATCTTTTTAGTGAAAAAACAATGGTAAATATTTAGGATGTGTAAAATAGTATCTTTTGAAGTGAAATTAAACACAAAGATAAATCTAAGAAGAGATGATACAATTTTCAAATGTTTTTATTTCATGGTCAGCAAAAGTTTGATTTGTCTTTATCTTTCAGACATAAGATTCTAAACATGTTGACTAAGAACCCACCATTTACTAAGAACATGGAGTCTCCGCTATGCAATGAAGCCTTGGTAGATCAACTTTGGAAACTTATGAACTCTGGTAGGAATTTTTTGAAAATGTTATTATTGGAATACTTCCATTTTACAACAGATTTTCAGTAAAGAATTATGGTGCCCATAATTAAAAAAAAAATTTAAAAAAATTAAAAATTAATTTTTGTGCCCATTTTTTTTTAAGAAGGATACTTTATCACATCTGCCTTTACAATGGTGAGCATGGTGACATTTACTGAGGATATATTCACTCACTTTTCTCACAAGGTGGTTGAGGAAACAAAAATACTAATTTATGTGGAAATATCCCAAATGTTTAAAGAGCCATAAACATGGACCTGCAGAGTATTGTTATTTTTATATCAGACGATTACAGAGAGTTGTAAAAAATAGTTGTTCTCACCTATTTTCCCTCACTACCTAGTGGCCTTTCCCAGGGGGCAACTAGTTTCCTGTGTATCCTTTCAGAAGCAGTGGATGTTGCTGTTCTGCACACTGGACACCATGATATCTCATAACAGTTTGAATTCACTTTATTCGGGTGAAGTCAAGAGACAAGATAGCCTAGTGCTCCTAAGTATAGGTTCCGGAACCAGTTGGATGAGAGGCAAGTCCCAGCTGAATGATTTACAAGGTGTGACTTGTCCAAGCCTGTGAATCTCCATTTATGAAATGGAGATGATGATGCCTGCCTCTGCAAATGAAAATTCAGTGAGAGTTACCATCTGTGAAACACAGTATCTAGTTCATATTAAGCGCCCAAAATGTTCTTAAACTAACAGAGTAATGATATCATCATGTTTCTCACATATTGGCGCTGTAGTTCCTTTTTTATTGTGGGTCATTTATATTCTTTGCCATTTTTATTCAATTGAATTTTTGGTCTTTTCCAGTTGACTTGTAAATGTATATATTTAAAGAAAATTTGCCTTATGGCTCTGATGTGTTGAAATTGTAATACTGATTTTGGTTTAAAATTCAATTAAAAGGGATACCTAGCTGGCTCAGCAGTTGAGCATGTGCCTTCGGCTCAAGGCGTGATCCCAGGATCCAGGATCAAGTCCCACATTGGGCTTCCTTTGAGAGGCCTACTTCTCCCTCAGCCTGTGTCTCTGCCTCTCTCTTTCTGCGTCTCTCATGAATAAATAGATAAATCTTTAAAAAAAATAAAATTCAATTAAAAGGTAAATTTATTTTACTTAAAGGTAAACTGGTTTGATCCCGGGTTTCGGCACCAAAAAAAAAAAAAAAGATAAACTGTGCCAAGGAGATGGTGAGAGAGCAGTTGCGATTCATTCCTGTATGCATGTTACTAAATCACAACTAAATACCAAGTCTGATTCTTTTTAAAAAATTATTTTATTTACTAGCATTGTGATGCTAAGTAATTGTATAACTTCTGTCCCTCAGTTTCATAATCATAGTGCAGCACCCCACGTAAAGGCACCGTAGCAGGTATGAAATTGAAATACAGTAGTATGGCCTGTCCTCAAAGTACTCAGAAAACAACACGTAAACTGGTTGATACTCATAAAGCTAAATTATTTTTCTAATGGTTTCCCTAATCCGTAGAAGAATAATTGCTGCTGTTTACATAATGTTTTATATTTTGCAACTGTGGTTACCTTAAAGGATGTTAGGATCACTGTAATTTAGGTAATTTAGATCCAGGAGATGACTATACAAGTTCTAGAACTTGTAAAGGATTATTTAACAGTTAATATGTGGCGAACTATACTGTGTTGAATATATTCCTAACAAGAGTGCATGCATGATTCCACAACTAGGATGGATTATAGCTTGGAAGAAAGCATAATGAAATAATACAAAGAATCTTTTGTCACCTTCTAGGGAAGATTTCTTTTTTTTTTTTTTTTAATTTTTTTTTAATTTTTTTTTTTTTTTTTTTTTTTAGGGAAGATTTCTTGAAAAATAAATGTGTGGTTAAGATTAATGAAACAATTTTTATAAGACTTCAAAGCCCGGGGATCCCTGGGTGGCTCAGTGGTTTAGTGCCTGCCTTTGGCCCAGGGCGCAATCCTGGAGTCCCAGGATCGAGTCCCGCGTCGGGCTCCTGGCATGGAGCCTGCTTCTCCTTCCTCCTGTCTCTGCCTCTCTCTCTCTCTCTCTCTCTCTCTTTCTCTCTCTCTCTCTCTCTCTCTCTCTCTCTCTCTATCATGAATAAATAAATAAATAAATCTTTAACAAAAAAAAAACAAAAAACTTTGAAGCCCATTGGAAAGTTGTGGTTATACAAATTCAAGCTCTGATTGATGTTTTAGTAGTTAATTTTGATAGTGTTCAGTATAAAGTGTAGTTGTTGCTTTGGAATTCTCTGTGGCATTTCTCTAAACAAAACAGATACATAGTTGTAAACAATTTATTGCTCAGCTCTTCAGAGTTAAAAATAAATGGGAGTAATGAACAGTGGGAATGGCATGAATAGTTGGGAGTGGTTTTTTTGCTTTTTGTTTTATTTTTAATGTTTTCAGAGGACATTGGACATTAGGGGAGATTGGTTAGAGGGTTACTCATTTCCCTTCCATTCCTGAACTTCTGGGATACATGAATGAACCTAAGAAATCTTTTTTTGTGTTTAATTTTTTTTTAAAGATTTTATTTTTAAGTAATCTCTAAACCCAACATAAGGCTCAAACTCCCAACCTCATGATCAAGAGTCATACACTTACTCCACTGACTGAGCCAGCCAGGCACCCAATAATTTTTAGTTAATTTTTTTTTAATGATAATGTAATATAATCACATTACAAAGTTTTATCTGAACCAAAACAGAAAATATTGCACGATTTTATTACATTTAAGTAATTAACATTTAACATTTAAGTATAACTATTAACATTTAAGTATATTTGGCCTTTAGGGGAAAAAATTGTATATACATAATTGTAGTTGAAATGAAGGTATTAAAACAGTATTTTATCATAATTTTTCATATTACTATATATCTTCTTCCTTGTAATTGTTTTAAGAAATGGTAATGAGAATTCACTTATAACAAAAGGAGCTAGAGCATCATTTAAGTTCCTAAATCCTACTGAATGCTGTCTGTCCCTCACTCCCTGTTGGGGTTCCTAGGCCATCTGGTCATTTGAGATGATAATTGTCTTGATATACATATGGAGAACAAATAAACTGTGGACAGTAGGTATTTAATTATATTCATTTATTGAATCTCCTATTCCAAAGTGGATTTGAGATGTGTTGACTTTGCATAGTTATAAAATTAGTTGAACTTGTTTGAAATAGTAGAGAGAGGCAGTATCATAGCAGTTCAGAAAAGTTCTTAGAACATGGTCATTAGGTGCTTTTGAATAATTGAAGTTTGCTTAGTTGGTTTCTGAAACTTCTCAATAAGAGAATAATAATTGGAATAATCCTAATCCATAGCATTAGGATTTCAAAAATTGAAATTAGTTTGAAAGTAAAACAGATGAACTAATTATATGAAATTATATCCATGTTCTTTTTTTAATTCATATATCATTAATATATTTATAATACTCTTTTTAGAAATATACCAGGGGTTTTTAGAGTGAGAGGTAAAGAAAGGAGGGGATTTTGGAAACTGAGTCATTCTAATGGCCATCTACCAGATGGAAGATTCCCAGACTTCTGTTAAGACCCCAGGATTTGCCTGGTCTCCGCTCTCTGCCTGATGTGGTAGCTCCACTCAACCTTAAGTTCTAAGTTGCTACTCTGGTAGCATCCCATTACACATACACCCAACTATATATGTATGTATACATACATACAGATATCAGATATTTTACCCCATTCTTTAGTTTAATTTTCCCATATAACTTTTTCTCCCCAACATTTTGTTTTTAAAATTTTCAAAGCTTAGAAAAATTTTAAGAGCAGTACAATGAATGACCGTGTATTTTCACCTTGGTTCGCTAGTTGTTGACTTTTTTATCTATTTCTTTTTTCTTTTTCTTTGTGTACACATACCTCTTTTTTTCCCCTGAATTGTTTGAAAGTAAGTTGCATCATGATACTCTTCCCAAAAAACTTAAGTATGTATTCCTAAGAATATGGACATTCTTCTCCATATGCTCCATATCCTACAGATTCTACATATCCTCGATATTATTAACATGCCCTACTCCAGTATGTATCTCATTCATATTTCCTCAGTTGCCTCCCAAAATGTCCTTGTAGTTCTCACACAGCTTTTAAAGAGTAATGCTCCTCAAAAAGAATAAACATTTTTAAGAGAAACCTCTTTCATATTATATGGTCTTTGTCCCCTAGTTGCTTAAGAATCTTAATTAGTTTTATTTTTAATTACAAGTATCACATTATTCATGGGCAGTTCTTTTTAAAGCTTCAAATGTTTGTTTGTTCACCATTTATTTCTTGAGCACCTCCAGTTTGTCACTGTACTATGTTTTGTGTGCATAAGAATTACACTACGAACAGGTAGTTACTGAAATAAAGAGAAAGGTACTCTAGAAACATGAAGAACAGAACCATGAACCCTGCAGAGAATGGCAGAATGTTCGTGGGATAGTGACATTTGAGCTAGCTCTTAAGGAGTGGAAGAGTATGCCACAGAAGACATTTTAGGTAAGAGAATTATATATAAAAGCCTCAAGTTCTTAAAAGGGGTTTGACAGTGTTATCTGGAAAAATAGATTAGGATGAAAAGTGAAGGGCCCTCAGGAGTTGGCAGTTTATCCTGCATACAGTGAGGAACAAGTGGAGTTAGGACCTGGCTCTCTTCTATTAGCTGTATATACATTTTTTCCACACAGAAAGAAATGATTTTCCTTTCCCGGAGAAAACTGTTTTAAAACTCAGAATACAGGGCAGCCCCGGTGGCGCAGTGGTTTAGCGCCGCCTTTGGCCCAGAGTGTGATCCTGGAGACCTGGCATCGAGTCCTACGTCGGGCTCCCTGCATGGAGCCTGCTTCTCCCTCTGCCTGTGTTTATGCATCTCTCTCTCTCTCTCTCTCTCTCTCTCTCTCTCTCTCTCTCTCTCTCCCTCTCTCTGTGTGTCTCTCATGAATAATTAAATAAAATCTTAAAAAAATAAAAGAATGAAATTAAAAAAAAACTCAGAATACATGAGAATCCTACCTTTTATAGCTCTGCGTAAGATACTGAATTATAGACCAACATTATAATAATTTTTTAAAATACATTTAAAAAATACATTTAAAAATTAAGAACTTAGTACTTGGAATTTTTATTTTTCCATTTAAAACATAAGTACTTTATCAGGTCTTACCTGATAAACAGTGTTTCTTCATTTCTCAAGATAGAGACCGGCTTTGAAGAGATTATATATCATTATGGAAGAAATCTTAGCCCTTACTCCCTAACTGCTTTTCATTGTTTGCCATATTACTGTAAGGATAACATGAAAGCGTTTATAAAATTGCTCAGGACATTGAGGGCTGTTTACATCATACTTTTTAGTGTTTAGAAGTATATAACTATACTTTAGGGGGTAGAATGAAAGACAACTTCTAAATCAGTTTGGTGGAATTTGCTAGGTTTCAGAGTTAGAAGATAGACAGTTTTGATATTAACATCAGAAGATTTCAGAGTTCTGGCCTTCTGGTTCTTTTCCTCCCAAACACTCCTTTTTAGGAAGAAGAAGAGTGGTGAAGAGAATGAAAACGTATTACTACATATTTTTTGTAGGAAATTGCATATGTATACACACACGTGGATGTGAGTGAAATGTTTGTACTTAGTGTTGTATGCATGGAGAGAGATCAGGACACAGCTGCCCTATGGCAGTTGTTGTTTGCCTGGCTCAACTCTGTTCAAATTCCCAAGCTTTTTTCATCAATAAGAAATGCTGGGTTTATTGAAAAATGTCTTGGAAACAGTGGCTTTCAAAGTGAGCTTTCTTCTTACCAGGTTTTTGGCTTGATTAGCTTTAATAGAGATTACTTCAAAAAATGAAGAGATGATCCTTTTAGGATCAGATTTTCTATTTTGGGGATTTGTCTCTAGATACTTCGTGATTTTTGTAGAGTATCAATACTAGGTTTCCTACTTTCTTCATGAGTGTTCTTCTGTTCCAAGTAAACAAGGTGGGTCCCAAAGTATAACTGCTTGTGAGGACAGGATGGACAGCATTTGACTTGAGAGAATAATGCCTTGTATATTTTCATATGTATGAGCATTCATTGCCACTTAAGTGATTGGGGTCATTTAAGCTAGAAGACGGTCTTCAAAATCTGTAACTGAGGGTAGAAACCAGGAGCTATTTCAGAGCCTCTCTTTAATGGAATTGATTGATTTGAGATCTTAGAATTTTTGACCTGAGGGGAATCTTAAGCATCACCTCAGATCCATGCTCTCATTTTAGGGCCCAAGTACCTGACTTGCCCAAGATCACAGAGCTAACTAATTTAGCAGAACTGTTTTCCCCATTTTACCATTCAACTTAATTGCACTATAAATAATAACAACCATTTTTTAAGATTTTGTTCCATGATTTTGAAATGTAATGGAGCTTTGATTTTTTTCCCTTTATAATTTTTATAGGAAGTACTGCTTTTCATTTTTTTAGCTCCCTTTTATCAGCCCTAAATTTTAATACTTACAGATCAATTCTTTGAGGGAAAAAACACTATCAGTAATTTTTCTCAGGAACAAAACAATTTTCATTCCTCCATCCAAGTTGAAAATCTACCAAAATCTTCAAAAACAAAACATAACAAAACAAACCATGGAGCACCTGGGTGGCTCAGTTGGTTAAGCATCTGCCTTCAGCTCAACTCATGATCTCAGGGTCCTGGGATCGAGTGCCTGGTCTCACTTCCTGCTCAGCAAGGAGCATGCTTCTCACTCTCGCTCTGCCCCTCCCCACTGCTCATGGGCATACATGTGCTCTCTCTTTTTGACATAGATAAAATGTTCAAAACAAAAGAAAAAAGACCACGTAGAAATAAAAAGTTAAAAAAAATTCTCATTCTAGTTCAGTGCATTTAGCAGCCTTCACTATGCTACATAATCATCCTTAAGCTGACTTTAAAGAAACAAAAAAACAAAAAACAAAATTTTGATGTTCATCAAAATGTACATTTTCCATTTGCTAATAATATTTTTTTTAAACTTTGAGGAATTCACGCTTAATTGCCTTACTGGTTTTGATGTCATCTACAACACAGTTCAAGGTGGTTATTTGCAGCAGACATAATTAGGTGATAACAATCTTTAAGGTTAACTTTTCTTCCAGTGTAAATGTACCCTAAACCGTTCCAGTTTTCTTTACTGATAAAATGCCTAAGATTCACTCCTTTTCTTGCAACACCCATGAGTAGGTAGTGCTAGTGCTGTGGCAGAATTCCCTCCCTCCTTCAGAGCTCTGAGCGCATCTAGCCTTTGTAATAAAAGGCTCAGGAATCTGATACCTGTCCTTTGTGAACTTACATGTGCAAAGTGCTTTGACCAGGAGAGTAGTGGATAAAATTAAGCCATGTTAGGCCATTAAAATGTCCAGATCTGCATATTCCAGAGAAGGAAATGGATTTCCAGTAAAATCCTTACTTTTCAATCTATGCTGTTCCCATGTCTAGTTTCTCTGTAGTTATTATGACAAAAACCTCATCCTCCTCAGGAACTCTTATCTTTCTGCTACCTTACCACACAATAGCATGGTTGAAGATGTCTCACATAGGATTGATGATAGCTGTTCCAAGGCATATAAAGTACCTTGTGCAGCGTGGTATATAGTATGAAGTCTGTGAAATTAGGATTCCTCTCATGTATTTATGTCACATTTACTTAACCTGTTGGGATATGTCTCGTTGGAATTACTGTTTGTTGGTGACAGTTTATTTATTCATTCTAACATTTGTTGAGAACCACAAAGCTTAATATTAATACTATTTTGTCTAAAATTTGCTGTAGCGACCTCTTTCCCTTTTGTCTCTCCTTTTTAAACAGTATGGTCCTCTTTTGAAATCACAGTTCTTGGTCACAATTAAGTATTTGTAAGGTTTTTCTTACCCAGAAGAATATATGTGTCACTTTCATTTGTTTTAAATTCTGTACATCATTTTAAATTTGCCCAGAAACCATAGCATTTCTCTAGCCCTAGATGACAGATTTCATCCTGTCAATCAGTTCCATTTGATGGCAGTATCTATCTGGAGTTTCTGTTGGCAAAAAAAAAGGGAAAGTGAGAAAAAACTCTATTGATTTGCTCTCTGATCTGCTATTGATAATAGGATAAGGTATAATCTAAGATCAAGACCCTTATTTTGGAAATGAAAAAGACATTAATCAGAGAAATTGGAAGAATTTGCCTCTAATATCTCAACTACTTTAAACCAAATTTGTACATGAATCATTCAATCTTCTTGTCAGTATGTTTTTACCAGCTGTTGATATCTCTGGGGTTTGCCTTTTCCTTTAATTTTTATTTTTTAAACAAATATCTAGTATAGCAACACAAATATAAGACATTTACCAAAACATTTTTCTCCTCCTCAATAAAAGTTTTGAATCCTGTTATTTTAAGTAGTTGTAGGGTTTCTTACCACATTTAAAATCTGAAAGTAATAAATTCGACAGAATTTGTTTCAGGTGGTAAAGTTCATAAAGGCTCATGGAGTGCTGTCTTCCTAATGGACTATTTAAGAAGATCAGACAAGATGAACAGAATGAATGGGTAGTTACCAAGGAGGAAGAATTAAAAGGAAGATTTAAAGTCAGAAAAAAATACTGTTTTTGGATTATTAAAGTTTTAGTGGATATCTAACATTCATTTGCTAAGAAGAATGGTATAATGGGGGTACCTTGATGGCTCAGTTGGTTAAGCATCCAATTCTTGCTTTCAGCTTAGGTCATGATCTCAGGGTCATGAGATAGAGTCCTGCATCCGGCTGTGTGTTCAGCAGGGAGTCTGCTTCTCTCCCTCTCCCTCTGCCCCCACCCCTCACTCGCTCTCTCTCAAATAAATCTTTAAAAAAAAATGGTGTAATGATAATTTTTTTCCAATTATAAACATAATTAGTTCATTCATTGTTATATACTGCTTTCAGGGGCACCTGGGTGGTTAGTTAGTTAAGCCAACTCTTGATGATTTCAGCGTAGGTCATGACCTCAAGGTTGAGAGATCAAGCCCCACATGAACTCCACACAGCACAGAGTCTGCTTGAGATGCTGTCTCCCACTCCAACTCCCCACACACATGTGTGCTAGCTCTCTCTCTCTCTCTCTCTCTCTCTCTCTCAAATAATTTTTTTAAATGAAAAAATACTTTTCATTTACTGCTTCTAGAACAATTTCTAAGTATCTATGTTAAGATGCATCTTTAGAGTAGAAGGTTTGCCCGTTCAGCCTAGGTCATTAGATAGCCCCTTGACATCATAATCCTTTTCCTCTTTGTAGGTTCTGGAGCAGTAAAAAAATTATGATTAAGAGTACATATTGGGATCCCTGGGTGGCACAGCGGTTTAGCGCCTGCCTTTGGCCCAGGGCACGATCCTGGAGACCCGGGATCGAATCCCACGTCGGGCTCCCGGTGCATGGAGCCTGCTTCTGCCTATGTCTCTGCCTCTCTGTCTCTCTGTGTGTGACTATCATAAATAAATAAAAATTTAAAAAAAAACTTAAAAAAGAGTACATATTGACTTATTTCTTTATTATTTACTTCTTAGGAACTTCACATGACTGGAGGTTACGGTGTGGTGCTGTGGACTTGTACTTCACACTTTTTGGCCTCAGTAGACCTTCCTGCTTGCCCTTACCAGAGCTTGGGTTGGTTCTTAATCTAAAAGAGAAAAAAGCTGTCTTGAATCCGACCATAATTCCAGAGGCCATAGGCAACCAAGAAGCCGCGATTAATCCAAGTAGTCACGCACAGCTAGTTGGATTTCAGAACCCTGTAAGGATCCAATGTATTATATGAAGATGTAGTTTCATTATATAGAGCTATCTAGAGAAGAGAATTGCTGTTTTGACTGGCAAATTTTAAAGCCACTAAGTTTCATGTGCACTTAAAAAACAAACAATTAGCTGACAGTAGTTTAGTACTTTACAGTTTATAAAATGCTTCTGACAAACTACATAGCTGCACATGACAAATGATGTGCTGCCAGTCCATTGACTCCTTTTGTGGTGACATCATGTTTTTGTACTGGAGTGTTGAATTTCTTCCTTGAGTAGCAGAAAATCGAAATGAATATTTAATCTTGTCCATATATGCTATTGGCAAACTACTTAAACATAGGGGCTCTGCCTTTTTTTTTGTTTTTTGTTTTATGGGTTTTTTGTTCTGTTTTGTTTTTTTGCTTCTCTGTGTCATACATAGCACAATTCTAAGCATATGATGAGTGCCTGACAAATGCTTATCAAATAAATAGCAATGACTGGTCAGGTAAATGAGTAAGCTGCTGATTTGGGAGGAGATTTTGCATTACTATTTTATTTATGTACGTGTGTCTGTGTTTGCCTTTTAAAAAGCTTTTATTTCTAGCTGTGCATTACAAAATTACCAGACTTTTTGTAAAAAGACCTTTAGGATACATAATCATTTTACTATAATTTAAAGAAAGTTTTCCTGAAACGATTTTCATATTAATACCAAAATGTTCCCAATAATTCATGCTTCATTTTTCGCCAATATTTAGACCAGATTACTTGCCTGGCAATTCCCTACTGGTGTTTTGACACTTGAAAACTGAGATTCTCTTAATGGTAGTTAGTGATAATCATTTTAAATTTATTTATTCACCTAGATTTCCTGGAATGTAATTATATGTATTTGTTGTAAATTTGAAATGTATTCTAGAGTTTGGATTATGAAGGAGTAAGATCTTTCAATAGGAAAAAATGAGACTCATAAAAATGCTCTTTCAAATCTGAATACTTAGAACTTGTAGAAACAAATAATGTTTATAATTTTTGCCCATATGTGTTACTCACATTCATTCTTGGAGTCTTCAGGAGAAGGGAGAAAATGACACCAAAATATACTCTTTTGGGAAAGCTCTAGAAGTTCACTTATATACCTCTGATCTCCCCTCAAAAAGACTAGCAGACAGGAAAAGGGGAAGTTTATTTTAAGCCCATTGCTGATAATTTTTAAGCACTGGGCATGCTCTAATCTGCATGGTTTCTGTAGCTATTAGTGTTCAGCTATAATATGAGCTACTTGTCTTCAGAAATCTAATTTTGATCTTGAATATTGCCGCAGGAAGATGATCACCTTGCCAAGGAAGCATCATGTAATATGTCAGCTCATCAGCAGGGAGTGAAGAGGAAGGCTGATACACCACTGGGGTCCCCACTAGAACCTGGTCAAATACTGGAGAAGAATGAGGATAGCAGTAAAGTCAAACTCAAAATCAGAGTAAGAAATACAGGTTAAACCTGTATTAATAGTGTAGGATATTCACCTTCTTGTAAATCTTTTTGAATACTTCCAATGGTTTTTCCATAGCAGGAACAGATGGGGCAGACTGAATCATAAAAGAACCCAAATGCCCATTTAAGATCTTCCATCTGGTTTAACTTTCATTATCACATACTTCTCTGTTTGGGGTAGGAACTGTGTGTGTGATTTACCACAGCTCACTCCCTCTTCCCACAATATAGGAGTAGATTTTAGTTGCTATTTCATTTCCAGTAATATTCATTCAGCTTCTTTTGGAGGCTGGACCATTTAATCTTTTCTTACTCTTAGTACTTTTTGAGAAAAAGACTATTTTTCCTTTTAAGATGTGGGGGTATGTTCTGTGACCTCTCTGCTACCTTTCCTAAGAACTAAGATCCAAATGTAAAGCAATATAATGGCTTCTTTTCGCTTTTGTTTTGTGTATGTGTTTTAGTTCTCAAATTCTCAAGATGAGGAGGAAATTGATATGGACACTGTTCATGATAGCCAGGCGTTTATTTCTCATCATTTGAACATGCTTGAAAGGCCATCGACTCCAGGTAAGATTGGTATACAAGAGAGTTCACATGGTGCTACAAATAAAGGCTTGTTGCTTTATTTACAAGTGAACAACTATAAAGTTTAAAAGTAACTAGAAAATACTAGATTGTATTGGATTATAAGGGGAAGGGGCACCTGGGTGGCCCAGTGGTTGAGCATCTGCCTTTGGTTCAGGTTGTGATCCTGGATCCTGGGATCAAGTCCTGCATCAGGCCCCCCCAGCAGGGAGCCTGCTTCTCCCTCTGCCTATGTCTCTGCCTCTCTTTGTGTCTCTCATGAATAAATAAATAAAATATTTAAAATAAAAAAGATTATAAGGTGTATCAGCATAGGAATAAGTTTTTTTAAAGGATTTTTTTTTTAAATTCTACTTTATTTTAGTCTTCTTATGTATTTGCCATACTTCTGGGTTTGTTTGTTTAAAAAAACATTCAACAGATTCCTTCCAGTAGCTTTAGGGTTCTTTTTAAAGGTTTTTTTTGTTTGTTTGTTTGTTTGGTTGGTTGGTTTTTTTGTTTTTGTTTTTGTTTTTATAATCTACTTAACCTCAAAATAAAATATTAGACCTATTTTCTTTTTAATATAACCATAATTTTAAAATTTTGACTGAAACTAATCCCCCCAGTAACAGGTTTCTCTCTTTGCCTCCCTGTTTCATATAATATCATAAATTTTTGCATGCATCTCTCAAATATAAGCTTTTCTTTTGAAAATAGTATCTGAAACAGTATCGAGTTGATATACTTTATTTTTCCTTCTTGGTAGGTATTTACATTGTTTCAATTTTTTTTTTTTTTACAGATAATTCTGTGCTGGATATCTTCATTCAAAGGCTTTTGTTTCTTTTTTGTCAAATTATATTCATGGATATGTTTCCCAAAATGTATTATTGGTGCAAAGTTAATTTTAACTGTATTATGAGAGACTTCAGATTTTTACAGTTCTTTTTTTTTTCTTTTTAAAGATTTATTTATTCATGGGAGACACACAGAGAGAGGCAGAGAACATAGTAAAGGGAGAAACAGGCTCCCTGGGGGAGCCTGATGCAGGACTCGATCCCGGGACTCCAAGATCACCCCCTGAGCCAAAGGCAGACACTGAACCACTGAAGTGTCTCAGATTTTTACAGTTCTTGATACATTTTATCATAATGCTTTTTCAAGAGTTAATACCTAGCTTATATCAATACCATTTTATAATTTTATAGAGTCATTAGACAAATATCTGTGAACCTCTCTCCACTTTAACCTGCGTCTTAGACCCCATGCTTGTCATTCCTCTTGTGCCTCTTCCCTAGTTCTGTTCACCTACTTTTGCACTACAAGGAAATACTGTCTGCAATTTCTTTTGTTACTTAATCATTCTCTGGTTTTTCTTTATCGTGTACCACGTAAATATAGGATTTCTTTGTACTTGTTTTTTTAATTTTATGAAACTGGTATGATACGAGTATGACTTTTTTCAGTCAACATTATGCTTCTAAAGTTCGTCCACGTTGATATGTAAGATGTAATTTATTAATTTTCATTAATCATTATTTTTGTATGCCTAGTACTGTTTTGCCACCAATGTAGTAACTTATAAAGAGACTTATTAATTATAAATGATAAGTCAAATTTAGTTTAATTTTTTTTTTTTTAAGTAATCTCTTTGTCCATTGTGGACTTTAACTCATAATACCAGAATCAGGAGTCAACATGCTTTACTGACTGAGCCAGCCAGGCACCCCCTCAAGTATACTTTATAATGCATTTTTTATTGGGAATATGACTTTTTTTTTTCTGGGTCCTTTTCCTGTTTTTTTTTTTATTGGAAAAAAATGAGTATTTATGCCCCATATTGGTGTCTTTTATGACTTCTGCATTTGAATATTTTTTTCTCTGTTCTTTTTTTCCGTCCTTTTTAAACTTGTTACAGTTGTACAAAGTCCCCCTTACCTACCATGGTCTGCTTTTTATTAAATCTTAGTTTTGAGACCTAAATTATTTCTCACTACTTAGTAATCTAAGATAAGCTAGTAGAATTTGAGAACTAGCTGTAGGTAGAATATAAGAGCCTTTGAAAAACTGACAGATCATGAATTCTTTGGCTTTTCTGACTGTAAGAGATCTTAACAATTTTTTACCTATTCAGTCCATTTTATAGACAAGTAAATTTAAGAGAGAGAGCTTAGGTGACTTGCCCTAAATGACACGCTCAAGTAATAGCCTGCTCAGGACTAGACTGACCTTAGAACTTTTCCATGTGTCAGATGAAGGAATTGAGACACAATGAGATAAGTGTCTCACCTGGATTATCTAATTTGTTGACAACTTGGAACCAGAACCTAGGTTTCCTGATAGCTGCTACAGTGCTGTTCACATTATGCCATTAACACATTTCCTTTTTGAAATATCTTCTGTAACCCCTAAATTATTTTTATCCATTTGCTGAGTAAGTATTAGAATTTATTAGCAAATTTTGGGGGAGAACAGGGAAATTTTACTATATCCAAAATTCCATTTACATAATATAAAATATGGTTTCTACCTCAAATATAGAATCCAGTTTATATATATTGCAGGCCAGTTACTCTTTACTGTCATTCTTGAATGTGTGTTGTCCCTAGACTTAAGCACAAAGGAACCATGACAAAGCATTAAAATCAAATGGGATCTTTAGTAGTTATTAGTAGTCTTATTAGAATTCTGCTGTTGGGATCCCTGGGTGGCGCAGCGGTTTGGCGCCTGCCTTTGGCCCAGGGCGCGATCCTGGAGACCCGGGATCGAATCCCACGTCGGGCTCCCGGTGCATGGAGCCTGCTTCTTCCTCTGCCTGTGTCTCTGCCTCTCTCTCTCTCTGTGTGACTATCATAAATAAATAAAAATTTAAAAAAAAAAAAAAAAAAAGAATTCTGCTGTTGAACTGCTTCTGGTTTTAAGGTTAACTTATAAAAACATGTCAGGCTTTTCTCTTCTTTTGGTAAACCAAGAAATAAACGCCTCTTTTCCCTCTTTGGTATTATAGGGCTCTCTAAATATAGGCCAACTAGCTCCCGATCTGCTTTAATACCTCAGCACTCAACAGGCTGTGATGGCACACCCACCACTAAACCCCAGTGGAGCATGGAGCTTGCACGGAAGGGAACAGGTGAAATTATTATTATTATTATTATTATTATTATTATTATTATTAAGAACAAATCTACAAAATGTATAAAGTTTATCAACTTAAAAAAATACGTGAAAATATAGATCTAGGGACTTGCTTTTCTTGCAACACATTGACTTTGTATTACGTAATGTAATTTTGTATTTTATTTCTTGATTTTTAAGTAGACTCTGCACCCAGCTTGGAGCCTGATTTGGGGCTTGAACTCACAACCGTGAGATCAAGATCTAAGTTGAGTTGGACGTTTAACCGTCTGACCTACCCAGGTGCCCCTAAGAATATTTTAAACTAGACTATTTGAAAATAGTGCCCTCCTATAAAACTTGGAAATGAGAGAAGAGTAGAAAAGGGGAAAAACATCCCTTATTATGCCATTTAAAAATACCCATTATTTTTTTCTTGCAATTATTTTTCTTAGAATATTATAAGATGAAAAATGCCACCTTCAGTAGATACCATCAAATTTGCACCTTTCATACTTTTATAAAATGTGAAAGTCATTTATTTATTTTTCCTTTCCCTCTCCCCTTGAAAGCTTTACAATTGGTCATTCATGGTCAGTCATGAAGCCTAGATGCTATACTAGAAAACTAAGATGTTCTGTCTTTTAAATTATTAAATACTAGTTGGGCTTAATTTTATGAAAAGTAATTCAGTTCAGATGTGTTTGTTGTCTACTCTATTTTACATTGTCTTCTGCTTATTTTGTTTTTAGTTGCTTACCAAAAAAAAAAAGATCGTAATCTAGATAAGGAATAATAAACATTCAGTGTTAAAGATTCAGTTCTCAAGTTTTGGAGGAACAGGGAGTGAAAAACAAGATATATAAGCAAAATCATTTTTAAAGAATAGTTTTTCCAAAAGTCATTAGTCAGACTTTTAAGATTCCAACAGATGGATTTTGTTTATATAAGCCATGTTTTTATGATATAAACAAAGGAGTAGCTGTTTATTGATTTGAGGAGCTTAAGGATCAACTGTGATTAATTCAAGCCAGAGTAACAACTCAGAATATTTTGGTATTGAGACCCCAGATTGTTGCTTTCTTATATCTCTCTGCGGCTGTATGCATTTACTGTAATAGGTTCATGCAGAATTTATTTCAGAAAGAATCAGCTGGAGTCTTTATCACTTTGATAAGTGAATTTTGACATTTCTTGGCCTTGCTAGCCTTATGTTCTGTTGTTTTTATTTTTGGTTTTGGTGTAATTTTGCTTTATTACCATTATACTTACTAAAATTTTACTAGCCCTGAAAAATTGCCCACATTTTTAAAAATGATTAAGCTCAGAGTATTTTAAACCTCTTAATATAGTTTGGGGTGATGCTTCTGCCGGTTCTTCCATGCCTTTTAAAAAAAACAAATCTGTCTGAATTCGGCAGTTAAATGATTTCTTATTCCAGAAAAGAGTCTGAAATGTTTGTTTGGTTTTTCTTTGTGATGTGGTGCACTAACCTAGGGAACAGCAAATTTTAACACCATTTTGTGGCCACTAATATGCCTTTGTATCATAGTCCCCTATTGCTTTTAAAAACCCACTTTTACTTTTTTTGGAATCTCTTTTTATAGTCCTGTAGCTCTCTTGACCTCATGGAAGACTGAGAAGGAGATACAGGGCTAAGAGTGTGGAATAGGAAAGTATTAATATTTCAGCTCTGGTTGCTAGGACCTTTTTGTGTCATCAGGCAAAGTGTATACCCATATATTACTTGGACTGACTTGTAAAACTTAACTGCAATATGTTTTTTTAATGTGCTTTTGTAATTTTTTTTAAATGTATTTATGCTATTCAGTACTCTGTGGCCAGTGAGCAGGTCTTAAGATTCAATAGTGATACTATTAGAATTTAGAAAACCTTCATTTTACAAATGGTGATGTTCCAGAAGATTATTTGTACTAATATTTGTTTTGGAATTCTAAATGTGGTTTTCCCATAGATACTTTGTTACATTTGATAGGTAACTTTCCCAAGCTAGCCAACAAAGTTAAAATCCCTTTTAACTTACACCATACATGAAGAATAAGAGTATCAAACCTAGCCACTGTTTGTAACAATGTTTCTGAGAAAAGGGGCCCTTAGAACTTCATCTTTAGAAATGTCAGAAGCACAACTTTGCCTAACTCAAAGTTGGCAGTAAAATAGGGACTTCCTCTCTTCCTGCCTCCCAGAAGGAGCCAGGGTCTCTTGCTGTGGTAGCTAGCCTGGCCTGAGGTTGTTAGCTGGAGGGCTGAGTAGAGGAGGCATAGAACCAGTGTAAGGGAAGCTGCGACCTCTCTTAACTCTCCAAGGGATTCCAAATTAGAGTTCACAAATAGGCCTTATTTAGAGCCTTATTCAGCACATCCAACTGAGGCATCTTTTACTTGTTCTATATAAGTCTCACAAAAATTTTTGAAGTAGTTTACTAAAAAGAGCTTACACATAGCAATCTGAATTTCCAGCTTCTCTTGAAAAAGAGTTAACTGAGAAGTCCTCTGAGGCAGGGATGTGCCTTCCATTTTGTGTTGCACAATGGAATTGTGCTTACTCATTTCTGCTATCTCCTTAGGTCCAAGGCTTTTGAGATTGGGAGCCCTGCTTCCTTTCCTAGAGCCAAGATGAATCCTGAGATGGCTCTCTTAAAAGAGCCAGCAAACCAGATAATTGAGAACTGGAATGTGTTACAGATGTCACCTGGGGGGTGGGATAGAAGATGAACGGGCGTGTAGGTAAGATAAAGAAGAGGTGGAAACTGTTAAGTAGTGGACAAGTTATGGTTTCCTTTTTGTTCTTTTTTCCCTCCAATTTTCTCTTTCCTTGCATATGCTAGAAGAGTATTTTGAGGATGATATGTGTGATAGGTTAAGCCATTTATGGGTAAGAAAAGAGAAGTGGCAGGGGTATTTTCCTTCCTTTATTATTTCTTTCCTCTCCCCTGAGGCAAAGAGGAGGCCATACAGCCTCTTGTGTCCTCTCCATCACTACAGCAGCCTGACACAGCCTGTCTGTGGTGATGAGGCATAGAGAAGTGACAGGCACAGGAGCAGAGGGAAACCCCTAGTGGGGAAGAAAAGGAAGAGAGTTCCTGCAGTTTTGCCTAGCTAGGGCTGCTGTATTACATAATGCCTTCTTGCATAAGTCAGAAAAGCACTGTTTTAGTGCATGAAATCTTTACCGCAAAAAAAGAAATATATATATTTTGAAAGTACTAGTTCTTTCTTTTGAAACTCTAATGTGAAAAGCAGACTTTGATTCTTTTTTTACTTAAATTTTAATGATATAATTTTACACTTTATTTTTTACAGTGATCTAAAGAATCCGAAGACCAGACTTCACACTTTTCCTAATAAAAACTGCAGGTTTTGTGTTAAGTTTAAACATATACCTATGTGAACAACTTTAAGAGAACTAACAGGTTATTGAATGTTGACAGCACTTTAATCAGATGGGCTGACAAGCCCCTAAATTAGGCTTATATTAAGTACCTCTTTCAGTTTATTTTGCACTTGTTAAATTGACTACAGCGAAAATCCTTATCCATAGTGCATTTTACTAGATCTCTAGGAAAGATTTAACATTGGGTAGAACAACAAAACAGATACTCTGTTTTGTGGTTTTCATATGAATGAAATAGGAAAATACAATATTCTTAATTATGTATAAATCCTTTGGTTATGTATGTGCCATCTATCATAGAGACACATATTTCAGGGTCTAAAAGTGCTTTCTTTAGCTTAAAAATGAGTGGTACCTCACCTTGGGTGGGCCTCAGGTTCCCAGGAATCTTGTAAACCCCGAAGTGATACATGAAATTATGTGCGTAAATGTGTCATGTTGATGGTAATACATGCATTTTTCTCAGTAGAGCTTCTATAGGTGACATCATGCTAGTGTGAAAGTCAACTCATACATGTCCCAAATCTGATTGTTAATACAATTCCATATGAGAAGGAAGTTGTACTTTCTTACCACCTTGGATTAGACCTGGTGAAATTATCCAGGAAAGAGAGATTAAGCAAACAAAATATATATATATATTTTGTCGGGGAGCCTGAATGGCTCTGGCTCAGTCAGTTAAGCATCTAACTCTTGGTTTTGGCTCAGGTTATGATCTCAGGGTCAGGAGGTCGAGTCCTGCCTTGTCAGACTCAGCGGGAGTCTGCTTGAGATTCTGCCTTTCCCTCTGCGCCCTCCTGCTATGCAACATGTTCTTTCTAAAATAAATGGATCATTTTATATATATAATGAATATATATGTATAATGAACATAATATATATTATAGACTATATATATATGGTCTATAATAATTGAAAACTTAAGAGCTAAAGGGTGGTGGTTATAGAATAACATTAGGTTTTATCAGATATTCTGTTGTTACAAATACTATTCTGGTGAATATTTTTGTGTATGTGTCTTTGCACATATGCATGAGCACATTTATAGGATAGAGTTCTAGAAATGAACATTTTAAACCATAGACTATGGATATTTAACATTTTCATGGATAGTGTCAAATTGCCTTAACTTCTCCTTTTTAAAAAACACTTTATTATGGCAAACTGTGAAGGAGTCAGACTATTATAATGAACTTCCCCCCCACCCCACGTTTATTACTTAGCTTCTATAGTGATCAGCTCATGGTCAGCTTTGTGTAATCTATATCCTTACCTATTTTCACCCTTATAAACAATTTTGAAACAAATCCCATGGATCATCACTTTATTCATAAACAACTTAGTATATATCTCTAAAAGATGAGGACTTTAAAAAGTCATTAACCACAGTAGCATTCTTTAAAACATTAATTTTTTTCATATTTTTAAATATTTTCGTGTTTTTTCATATTTATAAATATCCAGTGTTTAAGTTTCAGTCAGTTGACTTATGCCATCATTCTGATACTTATTTTTAACACACTTTATTTTTTGAACCAGTATCCACATAAGGTCTACACATTGTAGTTGGTTGATCTGTCCTTTACATCTTTTTAAATTTAAGGTTTCAAGTTTACCTTTTTCTCTTTTCTTCCCTTTTACAGTATATTTGTTAAAGAAACCAGGGTCTTAAGCTGTAGTTTTCAAGTCTGTGTTTTGCTAATTCTATACCTGTGGTATAATTAACATGTTAGAGTCCTTTTTATTTCTTGTAAATTTACAGTCGGATATAGAAGCTTAATTGTATTCAGGTTTATAGATGGCGGTGTGTTCTTCCATCTGGAAATATACAATGTCTGGTTGACCTTTTTTTTTTTTTTTTTTTGAATAGTGGAAGTTAGATTTTATTTACTTATTTTTATTTTTTCAACTTAAACTCAATTAATTAACATAATGTATTATTAGTTTCAGATGTAGAGGTCAGTGATTAATCAGTCTTATACTCAGTGCTCACTACATCACTTGCCCTCCTTAATGTCCATCACCCAGTTACCTGTTCCCCACTCTCCTCCCCTCTAGCAACCCTGTTTGTTTCCTATAGTTAAGAGTTGACTGTTGGGGTACCTGGGTGGCTCAGCGGTTGAGCATCTGCCTTTGGCTCAGGGCATGATCCTGTAGTCCCTGGATCGAGTCCCACATTGGGCTCCCTGCATGAAGCCTGCTTCTCCCTCTGCCTATGTCTCTGCCTCCCTCTCTCTGTGTGTCTCTCATGAATAAATAAAATCTTAAAAAAAAAAAAGAGTTGATTCTTTTATGAGGTTAACCACTAAGATGTTCAGTGCCTCTATCCATTATTTCACTAAGTGATATTCTTTTTTGTTTGTTTAAGATTTATATATTTAGTGAGAGTACACATGTGTGAGCAGGAGGAAGGACAGGGAGAGAGAGAGAGAATCTCAAGCACACCCCTGCTGAGCTTGGAGCCTGATGCAGGGCTGGATCTCAGAAAACTGAGATCATGACCTGAGCCAAAATCAATAGTCAGATAGATGTTCAACTGCCTGAGCCACACAGGTGCCCCACAAGGTGGTGATATTCTAATTAATCTTTCCATTTTTATAAACTATTTTATAAAGCTGAAGTCCCCCCTCATCTATTAATACCCAGTGGTATAGATCCTAGAGGAAGAGGAAAATAATGGCTTCTCTTTTTAGTTAATAATTTTTCAAATGATGAGTTGGCTATCTAACATCCTCTGATGGTGATCAATTAGTTCCAGTCCATTAGTTATTCTTATAATTATACAGATTGTCCCATCTTTGGACAGTGAGAACCTCCTAGAAGTTTGACTCTTGGGTCTGTTGAGAAGAATTTAACTTCCTTGCCATTATACCAGATGTTTCAGGTTCATCTTGTAAATATCCTGCCCAGCCTTAAAATCAGCCATTTGTCCTTGGAGCCGAGGTTCCTAACACCTTTATCTTTGGATCTAGCTAATCCGTTGTCTTATGAATAATTACAAATCAAGAGTCATGCAAGATTTATAATCAGTGTATCTTTAATGCTAAGTATAAGGCCACAAGAGATTGGATTTTGAAGTGGTTATAAGTATTCCTTGGAAAAGAGTATACCCAAATACACTTGGTTGTCTATTTGGCAGTTACCTCTGCTAGGAAGTACAGTTTCCAATATAATTATTGGTTTTTTGCAATCCAAGTAGCTTGGCAGGTGTTTAGAATGATGAAACTTCAGTGCAGAAGAGGACCTCAGATTCTTAATAGTGCAGACAGCCAGTTGAAAAGCTCACAGTCTGTTGTAGTCTAAATCATGAGGTAGGATCTGAAGGGATTTGTTCATCAGGGTTTAAAGTCTCTTATCACTTTTCCTTATCACCTGACTCTGCCCTGTGATTGGAAACATACTTGTATAATTTATTTAAAATCTAAATTAAAATCTTACAGTGGCATATCAGCCAAATGGCTGATACTCTAAATCAGATATCCCTGAAAATTTTCTGAATGTTATTTTGGTACCAATTATTGAAAAAGATACAGATCCCTAAACTTGTTTTGTATGTACATAATCTCTGTAATTAGCTTATGCATCATTATTAGTGTTATCTTTAGCAAAATACCATGAATATAAAAATATAATTTTGTAGTAATAAAATATGTGTCATATGAGAGAACAAGAGCTTTGGTTTATTCATTTGTCCTGAAGTTTTTGAACCATGCCTGACACCAAAGAAATTTAGTAGTCAGTCAATACTAGTTGAATGAATGGTCTGTAATAGTTTCTGTGCTTTCTCCCGCTCCCTTCAAAATTAATGACCTTCAGATTGCATTTAGTTGGACTAAATTCACCTAATATTCTATCTAAAAGAAATGCAATAATTAGATATTTCTGTTGTATTAATTCATTCATTCGTTTAGCAAGCTTTGGCAGGGGTGAGGAGGTGAGATGTAGAGGGTGCTAGATATTGGGTGACACATTGGGATACAAAGATGAAAAAGACACCTGTTCTCAAGATGCTCTCTAAGTGTAATGAAAGAGACCCAAAGAAAAAAAGTGTGCTGCGGTGTGTACTGTGCTGTGTGTGGCACGGCAGAGCAGTTAAGAGCACAGACTCTGGGGTTAGGCTTTTGGTCTCAGACCTGCCAGTACCACCTGGGGAGCAAGTCATTTAAGTTCTCTGTGCTGTAATTTCCTTTTTGAATTATGTTGTGGGAACATGAAAGTACTAATTTGGGGGGCAGTTTGGGGAAAAGTTAAAGAAATGACATTTGAGCTGAGTTTTAAATTCCTAAAGAGCCTGAAATGTTTTTTCTGTCCCTTTTGTCTTCTTTAGGTTACCATTTAAATATTACTTCCTTGGAGAAGTTTGCCTCTGATACCCCCACAGCTAATTTAAGTCTCCTGTCATGCTACTGGTTCACTCTGTGCTTTGTCTTTTTATTACTTGGTTGTACTTACTCAACTTCTTTCTTCTCAGCTAGTTGGTAAACGCCAGAAGACTGAGATCTATCCAGTTCATCTCTATTTTCCCCAGTTCCCATATAGTTCCTGTTGCTTGTTAAGTGAATTTATGAGTTGGACAAATAAGGGAAGGATTTTTTTTTTTTTGGGGGGAAGGATATTTCAAGCATAGGAAATAGCATTTACAAATTCACAATCATGAAAGGGCTACTCTAAAGTGCGTAGAAAGTGATAGGGGAACATAAGGCTGGAATGGTAAGTTCAGGACAGATTGTAAACTGTCAAATCAGTGCTGAAACTGATTTTTTAGAAAACTTCTGTGGTGTGGTTTTGGTAAGAATCATGGTTTTGGGGCTAGTTTGGATCAAAATTAGTGCTGATAATTTAAACAGTCCATTTCAGTTGAAAAGCTGGGTTTTTTTTTTTAGCTATTTGGGATAAAGCATGTATTTTCAGAAACTGCTGCGTTTAAGCCCAAGGGTTTTTTTGGCTTTTATTCTGTTGGTAGAATCAACTGAGTTGTTTTTTTGTTACTGTCATTTTTGTTGTTTTTAGAACCAACTGAGTTTTTAAGCAGATAATTACGTATAACTTTGTTTTTAGGAAGATCACTACACAGCAGGGTCTTCCAACCTACACATTAACATTGTGGGCATGAGAATTTTTTGTTGGAGTTGCTGTTCTATGTATGGTATGATGTACTGTGCATCCCTAGGCTCTACCCTTGGGACACCACTATGTCTTCCTCTCCCAGTTCTACCCCAGGTGTGATGACAAAACTATCTCCAGATATTGCCAAATAACCCCTATGGGGGCAAAATCCATCTGGTTGAGAACCACTTCTGTGTAGCTATGTAAAGTATAGATTTGAGTGTAAGACACATTAGGCATAGGAACCAGTTAATGAAAGACTGAGGTGAGGTGATCTGACAGTTGGTATTTATGAGTGAAAACCAATGGGAGGGTATCTGAGATGATTCTTAGGCTTTTTTTTCTTAGTTGGCTGCATGTAAAGCAGTATTGTCAGTCCAGAGTAATACAGAGAGAAGTCTTTCTTGGGGTATGGCCCAAGGATTGTAGCTTCTGGAGGAAGCAAGAAATTTTCGTACACTAGAGTCTGAGAAAGAACTTCTGTTGTAGATTCCTAGACCGATAGAATGTGAAATGGAAAGAACTTTCCAAAACGTTTGATTTTTTTTTTTTAGATGAGATAAAGAGAAAGAAAATGTATGCCGAAGGCTAACAGCACAATCTAGTCAAAAGCACAGGTTTCTTATTTCTCATCTTTTTTTCTTAAGTGACACTACTTTTGCCTTTAAGTGGAGATATTCTGTTTATAGACTCACTGCCTTTTCTGATTTTCTTAAGCTATGAACTTTGAGTTCACTTTTGCCTATCTATTTCCAGAAAGTACCTTAAGGGACTATAGAATGAATTTTGCTGAGATATGATTATCAGTAACTAGCATAGCATGTTTATGTCTTTTTAAGTGGTTCTTTGGGTGACAAAAATAAACTTCTGCCATTTTCCTACCCAATACCTTAGGATCGAACTAAAGTTGAATGAGCTACAGTTGAAGGACAAATGTAGGTCTTATAACACACACGTGTAATCATTCTTGTCATTTCATAATACTTTTAAACGTAAATTTTAACTTACAAAAGATGGTTTCATAACATACTGGTGTATATCATAATTGGTATAAACTGAGGAATTGAAGTATTCAGTTTTCTGGCCACAGTGCTGAGCACTTACTGTGTGTGGTTAATGGAATGTCTTATTCAGATCCTTTTCCCATTCCGTGTTATGCTCTTGGAGGTGTTAAACCCTTAGGGTCCCTCCCCTGTGCTGTCACCAGCTCCCTCTTATGTTCATCTCACTGACCTTGTTATCAGCAGAATTTCATTTGGGTGTTTTTAATCTTGAAGGTAAAGAACAGTCACCATTGGAGATGAGTATGCATCCAGTTGCTGCAGCTCCACTATCAGTGTTTACAAAGGAGCCCGCGTCCTCCAAACACAGTGACCACCATCACCACCATCACCACGAGCACAAGAAAAAGAAGAAGAAGCACAAACATAAGCACAAGCATAAGCACAAGCACGATGGTAAAGAGAAGGACAAAGAGCCCTTCAGCTTCTCCAGCCCCGCCAGTGGCAGGTCTGTTCGCTCCCCTTCTCTTTCTGACTGAGGAGGGGACAAACGAGACCTTTCCCTCAGTGTCCAGGAGATTGTACACAGCTAAAGCTTGTCCTTTGTAAAAAATGATAAAACAGACAAAAAAAATAGTTGCCTTTCTCATAGAAATTCAGAATCCATGGAAGTTCTAAACACTTGATTTATGTTATTTATGCAATTGAGATCTAGTTAGAAAAATGTTTTATAGTTCTGGATAAACCATTTCATCCTGTTTCCTCAGAGCGCGTGCGCGCAGGTGCGGGCGCACACACACACACACACACACACACACGGCAGCTTCACAGAGGCCCTCAGGCCACAAGCAGTTCCCATTCACATCATGGTCTTCATGTGTACTGCCAATTTCAATTATGTTGTAGAGTCTTCGATGGATGTTACAGGGCAAAGTTATGTTTTAAACAAGCTACTGCCAGAGCAGTGGTGAAACCATTATTCCGGTGAAATGTTGTATGACACTATTTGGAACCACCGAGAAAGACCTAGGCTTTTCTATAGGAATCTTTATTACATGGTATTTTTTTTGTTTTAACCATAGAGGCTAAACATCAGGAGTTGTGAACAAGAATACATGGTTATTTTCTTTTGCCCTAAAATACTGAAATTTTCAGAAGCAGCTCTGTTAAAAAAAAATGTTTTTGAAATAGCATTTTTGATAGTACATTTGGTGATTATGATGTTGGAATTTAATAAGACTCTCAAATCCACAGTTCTCAAATCAAGATGTTCAAATTATAAGTTCTTTTTTTTCATTAAGTATAAGTGAATATGTTCATATATAGAATATGTTCGCTGAATGTAGACAATTTACATACCCCACTCATAATCTAAAACTATTTCAGTAAACCACAAAGTCCAATACCTTAAAAAGGTGTTTATGTGGTGTTTACTAACATGGACAAGTCAGCCGTCATGTGAGTACACCAGAAACATTTAAAAATACATGAAACATTTTGGTTTCATATTTAAATAATTTGTGTGTTTTTATTTTTATTTCTGAATTTATCATGTGCTTTATTGTTTGTTTGTTTGTTTGTTTGTTTAAAAGTGTTTTTCATACCTGTTCTATTTTTATCATTTCTCTTATCATTAGTTTGACAAAGTATTTCTTCCAGAATAGATGTTTCAAAGGGATCCAATAATGTTGGACTTTTAAATAAACTTTTAGTTGCATTTAACTTGTTTAATAAATAAGTTTTTGAATTGACTATTCTGCCTTTGTATCTTTTATATCTTTGTTACCTTTCTCTTTGTGTATGTATATAATGTACCTGTCCACAAATCTCTGCAAGCTTTGTGGATAGGCGGGATTTGAGCTGGCCTTGATAGTAAGAATGATTTCAATAGAGGTGAGGAAAGTTCTTTCAGAAGAAGAAACAGTGTTTTTTCAAAAAATATGGAAGAAAGCAAGGAGATGTTCAAGAGTTGTGAAACAGTGCAGCTGACTTGGAGTCTCAGGGCAAAAGGGAATGTGATGAGATGTTGAAGGGCCTAAATGGCAGTTATTTCGATTCCAATTAATTTAGTGTTGGCCTGCTGAAATTATTTTTGGAAAATGGAATATTTTATGTTACAGTGTGCTGCAGTGTGATACCATATATAGAATTCCCAACTTTGAAAATAGAAGGATATATTTCCAAATAATCATTAAGTGTTGTTAAGAAGATGGTGACAAATAATAGCTACCTATATAACTTAAGGACATCTTTTATATCCCGTGTTGTTCTAGGAACTATGTGTTACATAGATATTTCTAAATTGGATATTTATATTGGATGTTTTTTCTGAGGAACTTTTTTTATGGCAAGCCTTCAGTTATTTAAGCTGATGGGTAAGAGCAGACAACACAGGAATTATTCATATTTTTGAACTATGTAAATATGTAATTATACACAAACAACACCAAGTTCTAGTGGAAGTCTCACAGTCTCTTTCCCCAGAAGCAGTCACTCTTGGCAGTATTATGTGTGTCTCTCCAGAGCTAGTCTGTACATGCAGCTATACGTTATAGACATTTTTATTTTAACAAATGGTATTTGTAGCAATGTTTAATTTTGGTGTAGTTTATCTTTTAGAGTATATACATTTTGTGTCATAATAACAAAGGTCTTATTCTGTGACTATAAAGGAATTCTCCCTTTTTTTTTTTTCTGTTGGTTTTAAAGTTTTATGTTTCAGGTTACTATCCAACTAGAATCCATCTGGAATTTATTTTGATAGAAAATAGGAGGTAGAGATCCAACCTTTTTTTTCCCTTCCAGAATGCTACCCAACACTATGTATTTAAAATTCTGTCTTTTGGGAGTGCCTGGCTGATTTGTTTGCTACAGCATGCAACTCTTGATTTCAGGCTTGTGAGTTTGAGCCCCATGTTGGATGTAGAGATTAAAAGTTAAAAAAAAAAAAAAAGGATAAAACTCCATCTCTTTTCTTTTTAGATTTCAGGTGTAGCATACTAAATTCCTTTATTTTCTGGGTCCATTTCTGGACTTTGTGGCTGGTCTCATGGCTCTGTCTGCTCATCTGTCCGTACCATGCCAATTAGATCATGGTAGCACTGTGGTATGTTTTGATACAGTAGAGCGAGTCTCCTTACATTACTTTTCATCATCTTTTTGTTATTCTTGTGGGTTATTTTCTTTTTCTAGTTGACTTATTAATTTATATACAATAAATCTCACTTTGTATCAGTTTTTATGGGTTTGACAAATGCTTGGACTTGAATCTCCTACCACCAGTTTCATCACTGAAAAATTCACTGTGGCTGCCCCTCTACCACCCATCCCCTGCCTTCCACTGAAGGTTTTCCATCTCTGTTATCTTGCCTTTTTGAGTGTTTCTTTCTTTTTTTTTAAGATTTTATTTATTCATGAGAGACAGAGAGAGGCAGAGACACAGGGAGAGGAAGAAACAGACTCCTCACAGGGACCCTGATGAGAGACTGGATCCTGAACCCTGGGATCACGCCCTGAGCCGAAGGCAGACACTCAACCAATGAGCCACCCAGGCATTCCTGAGGGTTTATTTTTCTATACAAATATTCGAATCAGGGTTTTTAGGCTCTCCACGAAATTGTTTTTGTAGTTGGTATTGATTGTGTGTTAACTCAAGAGTTAACTTAGAATTGGTATTTTAAAAAATATTTTATTTAAATTCAGTTGCTAACATACAGTAACACCCAGTGCTCATCTCATCATGTGCCATCCTTAATGCCCATTACCCAGTTACCCCATCCCCCCACCTCTCTTTGTTTGTTTCCCAGAGTTAGAAGTCTCTCATGGTTTGTCTTCCTCTCTGATTTTTCCCCACTCAGTTTTCCCTCCTTTCCCTTATAGTCCCTTTCACTATTTCTTATATTCCACACATGATAATTGTCTTTCTCTAATTGACTTACTTCACTCAGCATAATACCCTCCAGTTCCATCCACATCAAAGTAAATGGTAGGTATTTGTCCTTTCTGATAGCTGAGTATAATATTCCATTGTATATAGAGACCACATCTTCTTTATCCATTCATCTGTTGAGGGACATCATGGCTCCTTCCACAGTTTGACTGTTGTGGACATTGCTGCTTTGAACGTTGGGGAGCAGGCATTCTGTCATTTCACTACATCTCTATCTGGGGGTAAATACCGAGTAGTGCAATTGTTGGGTCATTGGGTAACTCCTTTATTTTTAACTTCTTGAGGAGCCTCCATACTGTTTTCCAGAGTGGCTGCACCAGCTTGCATTTCCACCAACAGTGCAAGAGGATTCCCCATTCTCTGCATCCTCACCACATTTGTTGTTTCCTGTTTTGTTAATTTTAGCCATTCTAACTGGTGTAAAGTGGTATCTCGTTGTGGTTTTAATTTGTATTTCCCTGATGACAAGTGATGTGGAACATTTTTTCATGTGTTTTTTGGCCATGTGTAGGTCTTTGGAGAAATGTCTGTTCGTGTCTTCTGCCCATTTCATGACTGGATTGTTTGTTTCTTGGGTGTTGAGTTTGATAAGGTTTTTATAGATCTTGGATACTAGCCCTTTATCTGCTATGTCATTTGCAAGTATCTTCTCCCATTCTGTCGGTTGCCTTTTAGTTTTGTTGACTATTTCCTTGGTTGTGCAGAAGCTTTTTAACTTGATGAAGTCCCAGTAGTTCATTTTTGCTTTTATTTTCTTTGCCTTCATAGATGTATCTTGCAAGAAGTTGCTGTGGCCAAGTTCAAAAATGTTGCTTGTATTCTCCTCTAGGATTTTGATGGATTCTTGTCTCACATTTAGATATTTCAACCATTTTGAGTTTATCTTTGTAGATGGTGTAAGAGAATGGTCCAGTTTCATTCTACTGCATGTGGCTATTCAGTTTTCCCAACATTATTTGTTGAAGAGACTGTCCTTTTTCCATTGGATATTCTTTCCTACTTTGTCGAAAATGAGTTATCCATAGAGTTGAGGATCCATTTCTGGGTTCTGTATTCTGTTCCATTGATCTGTGTATCTGTTTTTGTGCCAGTACCATACTGTCTTGATGATCACAGCTTTTTAATATAGCTTGAAGTCAGGCATTGTGATGCTTCCAGCTTTGGTTTTCTTTTTCAGCATTCCTCTGCTATTCCAGGTCTTTTCTGTTTCCATACAAATCTTATTTGTTCCAATTCTGTGAAAAAAGTCCATGGTATTTCAATAGGGATTGCGTTTAATGTGTGAATTGCTCTGGGTAGCACAGACATTTTCACAATATTTATTATTTCAATCCATAAGCCTGCAATGTTTTTCCATCTCATGTCTTCCATTTCTTTCATAAGTGTTCTGTAGTTTTTAGAGTATAGATCCTTTACCTCTTTAGTTAGGTTTATAACTAGGTATCTTATGGTTTTGGGTACAATTATAAGTGGGATTGATTCCTTAATTTCTCTTTCTTCAGTCTCATTGTTAGTGTGCATCTGAAATCAGTGCACTGATTATTACCTCTTTTCTAATG